TCATCTAGTACATACTCATATGTGGACTGCAAGATGAGTTTCAGAAGGTGAGGTTCCATTATGAACTCTTTCCCAAACTCCAAACTGTTATAAGCAACTTCTTCCTTGTCTGGAATGATCTCAATCTGAACAACTCCCAGAGACCAACTCTTGTTTCCCCCACAAATACTCACATACCTCAAACCTGCTCGACCACCAGTCTTCACCATTCCATTCACCCAGTTGCTTGGGCCAGTGTCCTCAGGGCCTCTCTTCCCTCCTCAGATGCCGTCTAATGCACCAGTCAAGCCAGTCAGTTCTGTCTTCAGAATGTATCCTGGGCCTGACTGCTTCTCACCACCTCCATTATTGACATCCAAGCCCAGGTCACCGTTGTCTCCTACCTGGACTATTGGTTTCCTGGCTTCTACCCTAGCCTTTCTTACAGAGGACTCTATAGCAGCCAAAATAATCTTTAAAAAACAAAAAGCAAATGTGATTCTCCTACTCAAAACCCTCCAGTAGTCTCCCATTACTCAGAACAATCTCCTAACCTGGCCTACAGTTCACCCCATGTCCTTATCTGATTTGACTCCTGCCCATCTGGATGACTCTGCCACCTCTTGCTGCCTTGTGGGTCCTCTGAGCCACCAAACCTGTCCCTGCCTTGGGGTCTTTCCATTTATTATTCCCTCTGCAAGGAAAATTTGTCTCCATATCACCCCTTTTCATTTTCCCACCATATTCAGTTCTCTGCTCGTGTCTATCTTCCCTCAGCCTTGCCTGCCCATCCTGTCTAAAAGAGCACCCGTCCCTGGCTGGAGAGCACCTCCTCTCCAGCTCAGTTCTTCTCTGTAGCATTTATCAATACCTGGGGAGTGGGGGGACTTGAATATATGTCGTCTGTACCACTGTCAAGTTCCATGACAGTTGAGACTCTCGTCTTATTCTCTTATATATCCCTAGCTTTTAGAATAGTTTACGTGCTAGTATTAGGACAGAATAGGTCCTCATTAAATGTTATTAAATATTAAATAATGATGACATAGTAGTTCCTTATTAAATGTTGAAGGAATGGATGGGCTTGTATACAACATTAAGGAGCTTGGCTTCAATTCTGTAAGTGATGGGGAGATGGGGGCAGATGTACATTTTAGATAGATCGCCCTGGCAGTAATGTGAAGAACACAGTGGGGTCATGACAGGAAAAGCAGAGGTGGGAACAGGAGATCATCAGAAGGCCACTGAGGGCAGGACAGTCCACCTTCCACACTGCTGCCAGTATTGTGTTTTAAACACAAGTGTGCACACACTCACGTACACACACGTGAGTGCTCATACACAAATCAGGTCATGGTGCTTCCAGTGTCAATCAGGACTTGGCTGTGAATACTACAAAAGCAACTTGATCTAACTTAAGTGAAAGGGATGCTTGATAAGCAGGGAGACCAAACTCACAGACCCCTAGAGTATGGATGATGTGGCATTTTCCAGAAAGAGCCAGGAACTAGGGCCTGAGAAGCCACTACAAACTTTTTTTTTTTGGCAGCTGACCAGTATAGGAATCTGAACCCTTGACCTGGGTTTTATCAGCACCATGCTCTTCCAAATGAGCCAACTGGTCAGCCCTCATTACACGTTTTGACAGTATTCTCCTGTCTCTTATTGCTGTATCACTCAGCCTATCTGTTTTGTTCTTTTCTGTCTTTCTTTAGTCCAGTTTTCCTGATAATGGGATAGAAGGTGGCTACCCTCATAGCCTCCCAGTTTTTACATCTCCTTCAAGAAACCAGCCCAATCTGAACTAATATCTTCTATGAGTGTACTTCAAAGAGTTCACAGAAAGATTTGTACTAACTTTCGATTCTATTTTTCCATGAACTTTTTGAAGTACCCCTGTATTCTGAATTCTGTGTATCTGGGAGATGGATAGGTTGGTCTTCTGGGACTATCAGATCCGTCTAAAGAAATGGAGTGACAGAGTACAAACATGCCTACTGAGGGTCAACCCTGTGTTAAACTGTGAGCTAGACAGATACCATAACGGAGTCCCTTGGCTGCCCACCATCCCTCCCCTACAACACACACAACTTTATTCCTTTTTATATATTCTAAAGATAGCCCTGCTAATGCATTCTGGTGATCCCGAGTACAAATTCAGTCACACTTAACTTCTCCCAAAGTTATATCCAGCCATGTCATGAGAGACAATATGATGGAGACATTTGTTCTCCAAGCCCATTACTAAGTTCCTTTCGAAGCCTCTAGGTAATGTCCACTCCTCTTCTGTTTTGGTCTTTATCCGATTCAGGTATGCAATTACTGGACTCTGATAAAGTTGACCTTTCTTGCCTACCAGTTTCATTTTTGAGAGTTCTCAAATCCTGTAATCTTGCCCAGTGGGTGGGTCTCTGTGAGTCCTGAGGGCTGCTAAACCAGGAGAAGGCCCCTGAGGGGCCCTGCTGATCTTCATTGTTCTTAGTCTCAGCCACTGATGGATAACAGTGGGCTCTTGTCTAAAATCCCCCAGTCCCCATGATACACCTACCTGAAATCTGTACAGAACGTAAGCGCGGATTGCAAGGGATACCAAATGTATTTGGTTCATGGGTTTCAGATAATGTGTAGAAAGAATTCAAATAGAGATGCCTGTCTATGTAAAAGTCCCCATATGACTTGCCCAACTACAGAGTTACATGCTTCCTCTATTCTAGAAGAATAAATGAGCTAGAAGAGGCAAGATCTTTTAGGACACTGTGATGGGAAAAAGCCACTAAGAAGAGCCTGTGAGTCTCACCTTGTGTTTCTGTCCATTAGCATTGGCCCCCTTCTGTGGACAGCTGGAGGCCACCTGGCGACAAGTGTGCTGCATTAGGTGGAGCTGTCAGGTGGCTGATACCTGAGCACAGTCCCTGGTGCTCACTGGTGGCTCTGCCTTGTCTGAGTGGCACTCCCAAGTTCGTAGGTTCCTAGGATCTCAACGTCTGGGAATACAGAGGTGGTGGCAACACTGCTGTGCTCTTAAGATTGAGCTTCTTAAAACAACATTGTTACCATATTATTGTCCTGTTTAAACATCCTTCTTGGTAGCCTTTCACCCTGTTTCTCAAATCCTTTTCCAGCTTCTTTTGCACAACTTCTCTTCAGCCCTGCTGGTTTACTGTCTCCTGCTCACACCCCTTGGCCTTGGCTGCTACCATCTCGGCACTGTCCCTCCCACCCCCTCTCCCCTTTCTGTGGTCTCCAAGTTGTGTCAACTCAGGACCCACGTCCTTCCTTGACAACCCTTTCTCCGAGGAGCACTTCCTTCTCAACTTCAGAGCATCTGTATTTCTCCCTCACTTAGCAATTGTATTACTTTGTGGCATTTGTTCTGTTATTTTCCTAATTGCTATTATAAGCTTTTTGCAGACACCAATTGTGTCTCACATATCTTTTATTTCCTCTGCTATACTGTTCCATACAGTAGCCACTTGCTACCTGTAGCTTTTGAGCCCTTAAAAATGTGTCTCATCTGATCAAGATGTGCTATAAGTTCAAAAATACACACTGGATTTCAAAGGTTCAGTACAAAAGAATAAATTAATAATTCTTATGGTGACTAAATTTTGAAAGGACATAATGTTTGGGATATATTTGATTGAATAAAGCACATTGTTAAAATTAATTTCACCTGTTTCTTTTTTGCTTTTTCACCGAGGCTCCTAGAAAGTTTTCAGTGACACCTGTGGCTCACATTTGTGACTCGCTGTATGTTTGGACAGCGCTGGTCTAGAGTGCTCAACACAGTGACTTGCACACAAGACCGTGCTCCCCAAAGCGTTGGCTGTTTGAGATGAATGAAAAGAAACAGCCTATTTCACCTGAGCAGTTTTCACTGTATCTTACCCTTTTCTCTTGGTTGGTGGGGAGCAAGGGACAACTAATTTCTATCCCCACTAGGTAGGACCCAAGTCAAAGAAATAGATATTAATAAAAGAAGAAATTCATCTGAATGTGAAAATAAATGCCAGCTCCAAATACAGTCTCCTGACTTTGTAAAGTGAAAGACAACTTAGAGAGTATAAGAGATTTGAATAACAAAAAGGACTTTTAGAAAATGCTTAAAAGTGGCTTACCTTATCTAAATTTAAAACTTTCACCATTGAATGATAAATCTGTGTTTCAAAACAAAATGTTTCCACTGTGCTGGACAGCTGCCAAAAAAATTTTTTTTTGAAAAAACACTAAAATTTTAAGATTAAAAATGAAAGCTGTTTTCTACTATAGAGTACCAAAGGAATAAGAGGGTGAGCATTGAAACAAGCCAAAAAAAATCTTAAATGGATACGGTGAGAGAAGCTTGCCTCTTACTAACAACCCAGAGGAGATCTTCCCAAAAGCTGGCTTTTCTCTCCCTCTCTGCCTCTTCCCTTTTCTTCCTAGCACTTCTTCCCTTAGGTTCCTTCCCTTTCTTCCTTTCCTTTAAAAAAAAAAAAATTCCTACATTTATATATCTTTCTCTCCTAACTATAATATTGAATTGAAGCACATTTAAATTGAAGTACATTGCTCATTTACTTCTTTAATTCTCCTATAATTTATTTTTGAATATAATATGGCATAAAGATCTAACTTTTTTTTTTTACAGATAGCTAACCAGAGTACTATTTTGTAAATCCACCATTGTTTTCTTGTTGATTTGTAATGACAGTAATGATTATTATTATTGAGAGCTTGCTATGGGATGAGGCAGTGTTTTGAGAGCTTTGCTTATACTTAAATTCCTGGTTGTGTTTCCTGAATAAAGGTTTTCCTCACTTTTAAATGAATTCATTATTATTATTTTTTTCTTTTCTTTCATTAAAAAATACAAAATAAGTTGCTTTTCCACTTTGGCCCCCAATTTTTTTTTTTTTTTTGGTCTCTCTGGGAGTTGAAGATCTCTCATAAAAACAAGTGCCCTGCCTTAAGTGCCCTACTTTAAGACTGGAAGAGGAGTTAGCAAGACCAAGAAATCACTTTTCCATTTCTCACCAGGGATGTTACTTATAGGTGTCTTTCAGGTTACAGAAAAGATGGAAAAAAGGACGTGTGCACTCTGCCCCAAAGATTTCAAGGAGTTTAGCATCCTGTACTTTGCACAATCAGAGAATATAGCTGCTCATGAAAATTGTTTGGTAAGTTACTTGAAAACTTACTTGAAAGTACATGAGTACTTTTAGGGTAGGACAAATGAGAATAGATAAATGGCTCAGTAGTCCCGCCTTATCCTTGGTTTTGCTTTCCGCAGTTTTAGTTACCCGTGGTCTGCCATGGTCCAAAAATATTAAATGGAAAATTCCAGCAATAAACATTTCATAAATTTTAATTGTGCGCTGTTCTGAGTAGCATTATGAAATCTCATGCCATCCTGCTCCGTCCCACCCAGGATGTGAATCATCCCTTTGTCCAGAACATCCACGCCGTATTCGCTACCTGCCTGTTAGACACCTAGTAGCTGTCTCAGTTATCAGATCGACTGTCATTTTATCACAGTCCTTGTGTTCAAATAACCCTTATTTTACTTTTCTGTCTCTCCAATTACTCAGGTCTTCTTTTGTGAGTTTCAAAATTGTTTAATAATTTTTTTTTTTCAGTAGAGGTCCAGAATTTTGGGTTAGGCTTATTCTTGGGTATTTGTTTTGTTTTGCTTTTTTCTAATACCTCTTTCTTTAACTGAGATATTATCAGGATATACAAACACTACTGATTTTTATTTATTGATCTCATCCAACAACCTTGCCAAATTGTTTTTAGTTCTAAAAGTCTTTAGATTCACCTGGATATTCTATTTAGATAATCCTCATCTGTAAGTAAGGATGATTTTATTTATTTCCCTTTAATCTGGGGGAGTCTTAATTTCTTTTTCTTGTTACTGCATTTTTTCTAGAACATTCTATCATAGTGGTGATTAAAAGCAGTTAAAATAGGGAGTTCTGTCTTGTTTCTAATATTAATGGGGTGCTTCTAAAGTCTTATCATTAAATTTTGTATTTATTTTATTAAAATAAGGAAGTTACCTTTTATTTCTAGTTTGCTAAAAGTTAGAGTATTGAATATTAAGAAATGCTTGTTCTGTGTCTATTGAAATGATCTGGGTTCTTTCTCTCTTTCTCTGTCCACAAACAGTGCTAAATGATTTGTTCTACTTTTTTATGTACATAATTTGATGGTTTTTTAAAATCTCAAACTTATAGAAAAGTTGCACATACAGTACAAAGAATTTATTTTTGGTTGGAACCATTTTAAATTAAATGATGTGTCATCTGTCCCGATATCTATCTTTTTTTATTTTTTATAAATGAAAAAATTGGGAAATTAACATTATTACATTCCTCTCCTCAGACCACCCAGGTTCCACCTGTTTTCCTAATAATATTCTTTATAACAAAGGATTGCAGCTCATGGGTTGCATTTAGTTTTCATGTCTCGAGTTTTTTCCTTTTAATCTGTTAGTAATGTGTTATATATATTTTTTCTGATGTTAAACCATTCTGAGATCAACACTATTTGATCACTATATTTTATTCTAATATACTATTGATGTTGATTTGCTGTTTTTAGTTAACTCTATTGGCACAATTTGCATAAGGCAGAATGCACCCGTTTTAAGTGTTGATTTTGAAGAGTTTTGAGTCACGTACGCACCAATGTAACCACTACCATGATCAAGATATAGAACATTTCTGTTACCCCAGAAGGTTCCCTCAGGCCCTTTGCAGTCAATTCCTCCCTACCCTGAGCCCCTATAGATTAGTCTTATCGTTTCTCAAATTTCATATGAAAGGAGTCTGTAATATGTACTCATTTGCGTCTGGCTTCCTTTGCTCAGTACAGTGTTTTGGAGATTCGTCCATGTTTTTGTGTGTCTGTATTGCATTCCTTTTTCTTTCTTTGTAGTATTCCATTGTATGGATATATCACAATTTGTTTATTCATTCCCCTGTTGATAGACATGTGTGTTATTTCCAGTTTGGAGCTAGTATGACAAATCTGTTATAAACATCTGTGAGTCTTTATGTGGACATATGCATTTATTTCTCTTGGGTGAATATCTAGAAGAATCATTGGATCATAAAATAAATGTGTGTCTAATTTTAAAAGTGATTGTGTTATTTTACACTTCTACCAACAGTGTGTAAGAATTTCATTTGCTCCACATTCTCATCAACACTTGATGTTTTTAGTCTTTTTTAATTTTTGTCAGTCTAGTGGGTGTATATGAGTATTTCATTGTTGGTTTCAATTTGCCTGAGGGTTAATGATATTGAACATCTTTTCAGGTGCTTATTCACCATTCATAAATCTTTTATGAAGTGTCTGTTCAAATTTTTTGCCCATTTTTAATTTAATCGTTTGTCTTATTATTGACTTGTAAGTTTTTCCAATGTTCTAGATATGTCTTTCATCAGATATATGTATTGTGAATATTTTCTCCCATTCGCTGGCTTGCCTCTTTGTTTTCTTAGCAATGTCCATCAAAGAGCAAAGAATTTTAATTTTGATGAGGTCCACCTCATTTTTATTTATGGTTTCTGTTTTTGTACTTACTTTTTTTTTTTTTAAGTGGCTGGCCAGTATGGGGACCCATGACCTTGGTGTTATGTGGCTCTCTTCTAACCAGCTGAGCTAACTGGCCTGCCCTGGTTTCTGCTTTTTATAAGAAATATTTGCCTATGCCAATGTCACCAAAATTTTCTCTTACATTTTTCATGCCTTTGTTATTTGAGTATATGTGTAATATTGATCTTCAATTCAGAAGGTAGGTTGGATCCTTTTGGTTTCAAGTAGCACATAGAAACTTGAGTGGGCCTAAACATAAAAGGGGATTTGTAATAAGATTGTGAGGGCATTTCATGGCTCCTAAAGGCAGGCATGCAGGTAGATCTAAGAAACAGGAGGTGGAAAGCCATCAGGAAACTAGAATGTCCTTTCTCTAGCCCTCAGTTTTGCTTTTCTTTCTTTGTGGACCAGCTTACTCTGATCATGTAGCTTCAGCTGTTGCTTAGATCCTATTCCACATTCCTAGGATAGGGAATCTGATTGGCACAGCTTGGTATTAGGGTCCCACCCAGGTCCAATTAGCCATTGTGGGTCAGGGTTACTGAGTATAAAACATGCCTGGGGATTTGGGTTCTCCCTAAGAAGTGGGGTGGTCTATGGTCTGCTCATACACTCCAAAAGGTGGTCACTGTTCAACCCCCAATCCATCTTCCATTCCTGGTGAGTACTTTTTGGTATCATTTTCTGACTTTAGCTTTCAGTATTACTTTGTGCATACTCTGGATTTTTTTTCCAATCTGCAGCTGTATTCTTCAGCACTTGTTGAATGTGAGGATCCCAATTCACCTAATTATGATAGAAATTTTGATGTGGAATCAGTAAAGAAAGAAATCCATAGAGGAAGGAAGTTGGTAAGTGTAAATGGTTTTATTACTCATACAGGATGAACAGACCCTCAGGGGATGCATTCAAAAGAAAGTCTATTTGATTGATAAACCAGGGATAGAGAAGCATCTTGGAGAGCTGAAAGAAGTAGGACGTGTACTGGAAACTTAGCTTCAACTGAACATTTAATATTTTAAAATAAACTACCACACACTTCATCAGTAAAGTAGATATGAATTAGATGGTTTTGGCTATAAGTAGAAGAAACCTCAACTCAAATTGGCTTTAAGAAAGAGGATGTTTATTTTCTCACATAACCAAAGGAAACACCTGCTTCGAGGTTGGTTGATACAGTGGCTCTATGATGTCATTGGGGTCCAGGTTCTTCCTCTCTGCCCTCTTGTCCCCACATCACCTAGTCCCCTTGTGGTTGTAGTGGGGGAGGCAGCAACTGGAGCATCAGGCTTTCTTGTTCATATCCAGCAAAAGAGAAGGGTCATCCCCACGCATGGAATAGGAGCCCTTCTGAAAGTTTAATTAGGTTGCACCCCTTTTTCTGCACCAGTTTCTGGGGGTGGCCATACTAATCAGGATCTACCCTTGGAGCTGGGGTCAGCTCCCCATGAGACATAGGGGGCTCACTGGAAAGGAAGGAATGCTGAGGAGTTATCCTACTGGGCTCATTACAATCGACCTCCTCTGTGAAAGGCCCTTACAGCTTAGCAAGCGGGACAGCAAGTGTGAGTGCCCCACACTCTGACCACAACCACAGTAAGGTTAGTGACCAGGGACAAACATTTATTTAGTCCTTGCAAGGCATCAGCAGCATCTTGCAGTAGGTGTGTTACACACATTGCTCTATGGAGACTCCCAGCTATGATGATGATGCCCATTTTGTAGATAGAAGAAATGGAAAGTCCAGAATGAAAGAGAACAGTCTTGATGGAATTCTGCAAATTATGCTGTCTTGGACGGTGTACACAATATTGTAGTAGTTCTTGAAGCAAGTCATAAAAACGGACTGGCTCCTGCCCTCAATTTTTATACAATATTAATCAGAAAGACTGGACAGTGATATCATTAGTGCTGACAGGGAGGAAGAGGCTGCCGGAGTCCGTCCCTAGGACTTTGGGTATGATAAGATGGGTAAGCAAGTAGCCCCTTTGATTAGAAAGCAGCAGACAGACCTCACCTGAAAGATTGCTTTTTTGTCGCTCTTTGTTTATTTTGAGTGAGGAGACATAGAGTTAAAGAAACCCCACCATTAGATTGTAGTGGTTGTACACATATGAAAAAACCCAGGCTGAGGAATGAGGGCAGTTGACTGGAGGCGTAATATTCAGAAGGAAGCAGGTGCACCTGAGGGTTTTTGCAGACTTGGGGATGCAGACTCTGCTACTGGGAAGACTTTGAGATGTGTTGGAAGTGGAGGGTAAAGGGGAGAGGAGTGAAAAGTTACCTGATGTACTAGTTACCCACTCACTAACAGGTACTTGTGGAAGCCTTGTTGTGTGTGGGCAGATTCACGGTGCACACACCCAAGACAGGCCAGTGCACGCAGTTTCAGTACAGACAGGTAAGTGCTTTGAGAGAGGTCAGCAAGCAGGCCCTTAGCAAGCAGCGTCCTCCCTGCAGCTGGGGCTCAGGAAGCCTTCCTAGTGTTGGGGGGTAGCAGGGTGAAAAGGAAGATGGGGAAGGGGAATTCCAGAAAGAGGGAATGGCATATGCAGAGGTGTGGAAGGCAAGATCAGAGCACGTTCATAAAACTGCAAGCATATGACTCTCCGAGATATTCTCTTTACTGAATTCCTAGAATTCCAGAGGGTATACCATAATTCGTGAAAGCATCCCTTTCTTGTTAGATAATGAGTTGACTCTGAGTTTTCACCATAACAGGTAATGCTGCAACACACGTTTGTACATACATATATCCTCTTCTACTTATTACTGTAGAACAGACTCCTAGATATGGAACTGCTGAGTTGAAGAGATTTCCTTTTAAAATTTTTGAACTGCAAAAGACAAAAAAAAAGACAAAAAAAAAAAAAAAATTTTTTTTGAACTGCGCTGACAAACTGTCCTCTTGGAAAGGTTGTAACAATTTATACTTCTGTGCATAGTGGATAGAAGAGAACTTTTCCCAGCCCTTGACAAAAATGAGTATCACTACTCTTGTTAATTTTTTTTTTTTTTTTTTTTGCCTTTTTGTCTTTTTTCGTGACCGGCAACGGGATCGCAACCCTTGGTGTCGCACCCGCACCGCGCTCAACCAGTGAGCGGACCGGTCTCTATATGGGATCCGAACCCTCGGCGGGAGCGCCGCCGCACTCTACCGAGTGCGCCACCGGGCCGGCCCAACTCTTGTTAATTTTTGCAAGTCTCATAGAAAAGCTTTACCTTGCATTTCCATGATTATGGAAGAGGTTGAACATTATTTCTGTTTAGGTATCTCCCATGCTCCCAGCTCACCCAACTCCAGCGATTCTTCACTGATCCCCTTACAGTCAGTGGCCCCCCTAAAGCCAAGGCCCACCACCATGATCACTCTCTTGCAAACACTCTGGCCTCCCTCTCCCACCACCCCCCACACTTCCTTACTCACCTAGCAAAGTCCCAACTGTGGTTGAACCCTTCTGTCTGTTGTGTGCATAGGCTGCGTAGCACTAGTACTTGAGCAGTTGAAGAATTGGAGGAAAACCTGCAAATGCACTGACTGATCTTTGATTCATGGCCGCCAACCTCAAAAGGGCCCTCAACACTTTCGTCATATGTTTGCTTCACACTCCATCCTGTACATTTACTGTTTTATTTTACCTCCTCTCTTCTCTCTTTAAAACCTCTCCCCACCCCAGCCTCCCAACCCCAGGCTGATTTTGCCTGGTTTTTATTGAGAAAATGGAAGCCTTTAGACAGAAACTCCCATTACCCAAACTACTGCCCATCCACCTCTGTCGGTGGACTCTCTGACCTCCCTCCTGTCAAAGCCACTCCTCCCCTGGGCTTTGCAGCCACCTGCAGCCCTCCTTCAGGACTAGGTTCTTGGATTTCCCTATACACACTTCACATCAGTATCTCCCTTTCTACTAGATTATTCCCCTCAACTGATCATGTTATCTTGAAAAAGAAATCCTCCCATGTACACAAGAAACTGGTCAAATATCACAAATGTCACTTCTGAGTCCATATTTGACTTTTCAGCAGTATTTCACACGGTTGTCCATGTGCTGCAGCTTGAAGCACTTTCTTCTTTTTCCTTCCTGATACACACTCCGAGTGTCTCCAGCCTTTATGGCTGTTTCTTCCTAGGCGTCTTGGCTGCTTTCTCCTCCTCTGTTCAGCCTCTGAAATTTGGAGTGCCCCAACGCTGGGTCCTGGGCTTCTTCCTCAATCTGAACATCTTTCCTAGGTGGCCTCACCCGGTTGCCATGGCTTAAATATCACCCATATGCCAGGGACTCACAAATCTATCTATCTCCAGCCCTATCCCCTTCCTAGAATTCCAGACTTCCACCTGACATATCTACATGGATATGTAATAGCATCTCATGTTAAACTCGCCGAAAAAGAACACAATTCCATCCCCTACACACACAAACACTCTCCATCCAAACTTGCTCATTTTCACCCCAATAAACAGCATCATCATTCATCCATTTGTCCAAGCTAGAAATCTAATGATTATCTTTTCCTCATCAGCCTCCCAGGCCAACAGCAAGCCCATCAGTGATATCTCTAGACATTTCTTGCATCCATCCACCCACTGTTGTCAGTGTCACTGATCCGCCATAGTGAAGTCACTGATCACTCTTGTGGGCAGTTGCTGAAGATTACTGATACTTGCCCTGCTTTCTCTCTGCCATCCCTACCCCAACCCATTCTCCACAAAGCAGCCAGAAGGATCTCTTAAAGATACTAATCAGTGTATGTTCCACTTGCATGAAGATGAAACCCAGCTCCTTACTCTGATTTGTAAGTCCTACATGATCCAGCCCTTCCTTACCTCTTTGATCTTACCTGAGACTCTACCCCTTGGCCCCTCGCTGCTCCAACAACACTGGCTGTCCCTCTGGTCTTTCTGGTAAGCTTGGCAGTGGGGAAGCTCATTCTTTCTACAAGAACTCAAGGCCCTCTGCTTAGAATGTCTTTCCCCTGCTTTGTTGCATGCCCAGAGCTATTCTTCAAATTTCAGCTTCTATATCACCTCCACAGAGGTGACACCCAATCTACTGACCACCCAGTCTAATATAAGGACCCAAAGATACTCTGTCACTTTGCCTTATTTTAATTCTACACAATGTAGAATTAAAATACACTTTGTGAGATGTTTTGAAATTTGCTTTATTTGATCATTGTCTATCCACTAGAATGTAAACTTAGATTTAAATTTGCTTTATTTGACCATTGTACATTCTCTCCACTAAAATGTAAACTTTATGTGGGCAGGTACCTTCTCTGCTTTGTTCACTAGTGTTTTCCTTTTTCGCAAAACAGTGTCTGCCACTTCAAAGCTACTACATACTAAATGCTACATACTTATATACTCTTTAAATTAATGTTTATTAGCCATTTGTATTTCTTCTGTGATTTACCTGTGACCATTTTTCTGTGGGTTATCAGAATCAACTATTTATGTGCTTGCTTGTTCTGCCCTTGGGATATTGTATGAATGATCTCCTGTTCTGCAAGGTGGCTTCATTGTGCCTCCATGTCACTCAGACAGAGTATGATGCTAATCAGCCTTGGTCCTGACCAGCTGAGTTTCTGTGGTCACACTATCTGCCTAACCATCTCTACATCACCTTCATATATAAAAATAGAAGTAGATATGTAAATAAAAGCAAGGGATCAAATACATTAAACTAAGAAAAAACTGTATTACCCAGAGGGTATGTTTTTTAAATTTTTACTTTTGGGCCCTACTACATAGATTCCAGAGAGGTTTCCCTGATTTCATCTCACGTTATCCTCAACAGGACCTCCATAAGGCAGGTCCTGTACCCTAGGAAGGAATCTGAGCGGGAGAAGTGCTGGCTTGAGGCTGTGCTGCTCTCTGTGGCACAGCCAGCAGCTGCTTGTGCCCCAGGCTCAGTGTTCATAACAGGACTCCTTGCCTGGAGCTGGACAAGTTTGCCAGCTCTGCTTTGTAGAAATCTCTTAAAACGAGAGATTGTTTCTGAAACAAAAAGCGTTTTCTACTTTTAATCAGATCATTACAAAATAGTCTGTGCCAAGTGTTCTAGTTAGCTACGGTTTTGCTGATATTTCCAAGTGAGAGGCCAAATGTAAGTACTTAATGTTTGTAGCTGAAAGTGGAATTTTGCTAATGACGTTCAGGATAAAAACATAGGGCTGCTGACTTAGATAGCATTCAATGATATCTTTAACTTTTAACAAAGATGATGAAAAACGCATTTACTCATAAAATCTGTTCTTCTGTAGAAATGCACATTTTGTGGTGAAAGAGGAGCCACCGTGGGATGTGACTTAAAATCCTGTGCCAAGAATTACCACTTTTTCTGTGCCAGGAGAGACAACGCATTTCTACAAACTGATGGAGCTCGAGGAATTTATAAGTATTTAATAAACCAGTTTTAAAACTACATTTTGGGGGGATTGAGATAGGAATGGTTAGATTAAGACAAGGAGACTTAATTTCATGTAAATGGTTTTCAAAGGAGAACATGGTTTGGGGGATGCCCAGTTGGAAACCTGACCTCACAACATCCTCCCTAAATAACTTAAGAAGAAAATAATTTAAAGTCTTGGGTTTTTTGTTTTTGTTTTTAATTTCCCTGTATCCTTTCCTTCCTGTTGGTCATAGTGTTTGTCACAATGGCGGGAATGACCTAAAGGGTGAGCAAGAGACAGGAACCAGTCCAAATTTGTTCTTTACTGCAAACAGGAAGAGGTCCTTACTTCTGTATAGCCACAGGCTCATTGGTTTATTCCGCTATCTTCTGTGTGGAATAAATATAATTTCCCACCATCATACCAATAAATAGGTCACCACCACCATCTTGCCTATAAATAGATACTAAATATGATAAAGAAACTTGGCAGCAAACACGGTAATCAGTCATTAAGTTCTTAAACTTATTCTATATTGCTTTTGCTGTTTAAATTTTTCTCCATTTCTTTAAATAATTCTTTAATGTTAATTTGGATCCAGTAAGGCATATTTCAAATCTAATAGGATTGTATTTGTTTTACCCAGGGAGAACCTTGGTCTTTTTTCTGACAAAATATTTCAGTTCAGTTAAATAATTGTACAGTTTGGTCACAAGAAATCAGTAAGACAGTTGTTAACTCAATTGTTTCAGATCATGTTCAATTGACTCTTTTTGGTGTGCAAAATGCAGTCTAAATTATGTCACACAAAGTTGAAAGAACAAATCATCTTAGAAGGAGTTTGGCCCTCTGAAGTTGAAGAGCCAGGATGACACTTCTCACTTTTGGGGGGCATGTGTATAGATTCTGCTTGAACATTTTAAATTTCAGTGAAATGCATTTATTTTTTTGAATCACAATATTGTGAATAATAAGATTAGTGTTAGGAGAGCATTACTTTTTAAAATACAACTTTTGTAAGATTTGTCACATTCTTTTTTTTTTTTTTTTTTAAAGATGACCGATAAGGGGATCTTAACCCTTGACTTGGTGCTGTCAGCACCACACTCAGCCAGTGAGCGAACCGGCCATCCCTATATGGGATCCGAACCCGGGGCCTTGGTGTTATCAGCACCACACTCTCCCGAGTGAGCCACGGGCCGGCCCCAGATTTGTTACATTCTAAAATGATTTTGTAAAATTCCATTCAGAGGCTGTATTTTTTTTCCTCCTGTGGGCATATATCCCCAATTTTATCAAAGTATTCCAGGCACTATTTTATTTTATTAATTTATTTAATAACCACTTACTTTATGCCAGGCATAGTTCTAAGTGCTTTACAAATGTTAACTCATTTAATCCTCACAACAGCTCAGTGAAGTAGGTACTATTATCCCCATTTTACAGATGAGGAAACTGAGGCCCTGAGACACTTAGTAACTTGTTCCCAGGTCACTTAGCTGGTAAGTAGTAGAGCTGGGCTTCAGGGCTCCCAAGTTCTTGCTCTTCACCATGTTGTCTTTAGGTTTAGGGGCCATATATTCTAAAACTAGATGGACAGGCCTACCATTAAAAGAAGTTTCCTAAATAATCTTAAATCTGATTTTGAGCATGTTCCGTAGGTATTTCATTGCTTGAGACATTAAAAAGGAAATGTGTAAATACGTTAATTTTGTACAGCACTTCTTTTTATGTTGAATTTGCTAAGACACTCATAGGTTTTTATACTGAGTTTCACTTTTATTATTTACCTTCCCAGAGATTTGTTTTATTGTGACTTTACAATGACATTAAACAAGATTAAACAAAAAAGTCAAGTCCCTGCTGTATCTTAAAGTTTGAAAAAATATGCTGATCACACATTAGTAGAACTAATGAGTAAGTACTCTAAAATAGTCTTTTTTCCCCATCGTTTTATCAAGAATAAGTGAATTTTTATACATTTTTAAACTGAATTTAAACATTTGGAGTGCTTATAAGCGAGACACCTTGCTAGGTGCTATTTATACAAATAGAAATAAGATATAGACTGAACTTCAAAGAAGTTGTCACCTGGTGGGAGGCCCCGAAAGGTCAATATATTTGAAAAAATTTATGTACTTGGCAAATGAAAGTGCTCAGAAATACGAGAATCCGGGGGGTGGGGGGAAGCAGGGAGGAGATTAATTTTGATTGAGTGTTGCTGGGAAGGCTGCACGGAGTAGGTGGAAATTGGTGTGAGACGGGGAAGAGATTGTACATTCCCCTAGGCCAGATGAGCACTGCATCCTGGCTGTTAGCATCATAGGAAAGAAAGGGAGCTGTAGCTGGGGGCTAAGGAAGAAGTGCTGAAAAGAAAATGGGGCCAGAGCGGTTCCTTGAAATTCATCCCTTCATTTCTTCATCATAGACTGCTATGCTACTTTTTTTTCTCTTGGAGGACATTGATCAATTCTAGGCTCTTTGTAGGTCAAATCTAAGGTCTGGGGAGAGAGAAAAAAATGAAAACAAAAGTAAAAGAAAAAATAATTTTAAAAAAAGATCTAGGGGAGATACCTGTTCACTTTGAAAACTACATTTTCCCAAATTAATGCATACAATTCTGTGCTATTTATTTTTGAAAATCAGAATTTTGTGTAGTCATATTTGTACACAGATTGTGTAGTCAGAAATTTGCATGTCTTACAAGATGTTGGATCTCTAGCTATCTTTATAGAATAAAATCCCTCTGACCACATTACATGAACTAGTATTGCTCAAAATATTTAATAAGCACTCACTCCTTGAGAGAACATAATGACCGTCCTGGGGCTCAGAGAACACAGAAGACACCTGACAGAGTCTCCGTCTATATTTGATATAGGTCAGTACTTTCATACAGGCTTAAATGTATTTTCTTTAAAAATAAATATTTTGGGTGAAGCCATCATGAAAATAGGTTAGTACCTTTTTAAATCACAAGAAGAATAAATAATATTTGAAAACCATAAATAAAAATATTTAACAATTCTTTGAAATTGCGTATTTTCAGAGTGTTTTGCCAACAACATGTTCCTGAATCACTGACTAACAATCTAAGTGGTAAGTTTCTAAAATTTAGTACTATGGGTTTAAAGAAGCTAAACATTTAGGTAAGATATGTAACAGTCTGATTAACTAGCCTTATTGAATTAACATACAAATTTTTGAGTTAAAATTTTACATAGTTATAAAATTAAGTACTCAGCTTCTTCGTGCATTGTGTCATACAATTGACTAATTTTTCTTCTTTGTGAACTAGACCTATTCTCTCTAGGCCATTCTCTGATATCTTCCATCCTCACTACACTAACAGGACCAAAGACATAGAAAGCTTTGACTTTTGTGACTACTTCTTTCCTATAGGAATATTAGAGTTTTCAGTAGATAAAATTAATAAAGTGCTGCACATCCCCTGAATAAAAATTTCCTAAGAAAGCATGGTTAGCATTTCCATTGAAGCAATTTGGATCCCAGCTAACGAGTTATAGGATGTACTTGTATATTCATTCATGAGAATAGCAGTGCCTTAGCACTAAATCTGGAATGTTCACTGTAAACTAGAGTCAGGACCTCTTTAGAAAATACTTAGTTCTGTGTCAGACCAACTGCATTTTATGGTGGTAAAGAGCATTCTCTAAACAATATCTTTATCCTCATTTTTCAGTCATTTATCCTTTTAACTCATCAGGAAATACTGTAAAAAAATATTGCTCTCTGTGTTTATTGACAGGGAAAGACAATAACGTATTAGTTTTAAAAAGCAGATTATACCACTGTCTAAAATGAATCCTCTCCCCAGAGGAAACAGTTCTTGTTTCTTTTGAATTCTTCCAAAACTTTTCAGTATATATAAACATACTTAGTACTATACTTTGCTTTTTTCCCTTGCAATGTCTCAGAGATCCTCCCACATCAGCATAAGTAGAATCTACCTTATTTTTAAAAGGCTGCATAATATTCCATTGTATAGCTGTAACACAATTGGACTATTCTCTGCTTGATGGACATTTAGATTATTTCTAATCTTTTCTATTACATTTAATACTGCAGTTAACATAGTCTCCGTGCATCTTTGTGACTTTATGTAACTATACTATTAGGAAAACTTCCCGTAAGTAGAATAGCTGGGCCGAAGAATATAAACAGTGAAATTCTGGATGACTATTAGCTTATTATCTTCCAGAGAAACTGCACCAGTGGTACACGGTTAACCTAAATCTTTGCAAACGTTATATATTAAATGTCTTCATCTTTATCAGTCTAATAGGTGAAAACTTGTTTTATTTGCATATCTTTACTTATGAGTGAAATTGACTGCATTCCCATACCTTTTCAACAATTATATTTTTTTCCTGTGATCCAATTTGTTCATTTTTCTATTCAATGAGCCCTCTCCCCAGAGGGTTTCCCATCTGCCCATTTTTCTACTCAATTGCTTATCTTTTTCATAATGACTTATAAGATCTTTTTAATTTTAAAAATTAACCCTTTATCATATGTGCTGCAAATGTTTCGTCTCTGTCATATCTTTTGACTTTGTAATAACTTTTGACATATAAGAGTTTTATATTTTATGTAGTCAGCAATCTTTTATGTATTCTGATTTTTAAATGCTTTATATTAAATGATTTATATTTTCAGCTGATTTTTCAAGAGGGAAAGGAAAAAAAGGAAAGAAGAAAACTCTCTCAACAGGCATTCATGTGCAGGTAATTTGACTTAATTTAGTTATAGCTTTAAATTTCTTCATACAGAGTCCTTATTTAAACCATTCTGAATTTCAGGTGAAATGTACTTTCCAAATCATTTGATTAGATAGCATTTGTATAAAATTCTTCATCTGTGTTCTCAGCCTAGATAGAGTTGAAACTAGGCATCCTGAGGATGCCTTTTTGGGAAGAATCCCATACTCAGGAAGCTCTTAGATAATTCCTAGATGATAGAAACATAGGATATGAGTATTAAAGACAAGCTGGAAGTTCCAAGCACATAATAACCTTCAGGAGGTGACATTCCTGCAGCTCCTATAAAGTATCCCCTGGCATCAAATCAGTGAGAACATATGACCCTACAGGGTACTTAAGGTCTTCCAATAGGCAGAGGGTGCAGTTGAGCACCCTTATATAGCCAAGTTATTTCCCAGCTGTGTGAACCACACAGCTAATTTGTAACTGTTACAACTTTATTATTACATATAAAGTATATGAAAATATTTTGGAGATTTAAAATTAAGTTTTTACACATCAGCTCATATAAACTAAATTAATATGAGCCAGCAACCTTCATCTCTTGCTGTTTATAGAAGAGGTGCTTGTCAAACACCTCTTGATGTTTTGTTATACAAAATAAAAATACACTTGATGTTTATATCTACATATGAATATGGGCGTGATTTTCACCACAGGCATATCAATTAATCATACACAGCAAAAGATTGGTTTTCATTTATGCAACAGTAAAATCAATGTCTTGATTTTCTCTCCTTCTAGCCACCTGAAAAAATGAAATTCACTGGAATCTTAAGGCAAATGAAGGAAGAGCATGGCAGACACACAGGTTTGCTATAAGTGACATCTGGAACAAATATGGCCTACAGTACTTATAAAAATGTTGACCCATGTATTTCAAAGTTGGTATCTGTTTTAGTCCGTTTGTGTTGCTATAACAGAAATACCTGAGACTGGGTAATTTATAAGGAAAAGAGGTTTATTTGGCATATGATTCTGGGACAGCTGCATCTGGCATGGGCCTCAGGCTGCTTCTACTCATGTCGGAAAGTGGCAGCAGCCAGCAGGTACAAGCAGATCACATGGTGAGAGGAAGTGAGCGAGCGAGACAGAGAGAGAGAGAGAGAGGAGGTGCCAGGGTCTTTTTAAGCAACGAACTCTCGCAGGAACTAATAGAGCAAGAACTCACTCATTAATCCCCCCTTCCCCCAGGGAGAGCATTAATCCATTCATGGGGGATCCTCCCCCATAACTCAATCAGTTTCCAACACTGCCACATTGGGGGTCAAATTTCCACATGAGTTTTGGAGGGGACAACACCTCCAAACTCCATCATTCTGCCCCTGACCCCCCCAAACTCATGTCCCTCTCACATACAAAATACAATCATTCCATCCCAACAGTCCCAAAAGTCTTAGCTTGTTCCAGCACCAACTTAAAAGTCCAAAGTTTCATCTGAGACCAAAAGCAAAAGTCCTTCCAGCTGTGAACCTGAAAAACAAAACCAAACTTATCTACTGCCAAAATACAATGGTGGAACAGACATTGGGTAAACATTCCCATTTCAAAAGGGAGGAATAGGCCAAAAGAAAGGAAAAACAGGCCCCAAACAAGTCCGAAACCCAGCAGGGCAGACATTGTCTTAAAGCTCCAAAGTAATGTTCTTTGACTCCAAGTCCTGCATCCTGGGCACAATTGGGCATCTGGGCCCCCAAAGCATCAGGCAGCCTTGTTCTCACAGCTCTGCCAGGCACAGCCCAGTGGGCCACACTGGTGCCTGTGGCTTTTCCAGGCCTATGTTGCATGTTACCAGTGGCCCTGAAGTTCTGGGGTCCTGGCGGCAGCCCTGCTGCCTTGGCTCCACTAGACATTTCCCTGGTGGAGGCTCTTTGTGGGCACTCTGACCCCACTTTTCTGCTCAGCATTGCTCTAGTAGATGACCTCTGTGGTGGCTCCGCCCCATGACAGGTCTCTGCCCAGGCTTTTCCATACATCCTCTGGAATCTGGGTGGAGGCTGCCATGACTCCACTTCTCTCACGTCCTGCCAGCCAGCAGACTTAACACAACTTAGATGCCACGGAGGTTTTGGGCCTCTAACTCTCCAAGGCTGCTGCACAAACCACACTTGGGGCCGCTCTAGCTGGAGCAGCTGGGATGCAAGGAGCAGGTTGCCGAGGGCAGCTGTGCCCCAGGTCTGTCCTCTGGGACAACTCAGTCCTTCTAGGCCTCAGGGCCTGTGATGGGTGGGGCACCCTTCCAGACCTCTCAAATGCTGCTAGGACATTTTTTCCATTGTCCTGGTTCTTAGCATCTGGCTGCCTCACCACCAAAATAATGTCTGTAGCAACCAGTTTATCTGCTTCACCCTTGCATTGTTTGCTGGTTCTCCACTTCTTTACCGCATGGCCAGGCTGCAAATATTCCAAAACTTTACACTCTGCTCCCGTTTTAAATTCTGGCTTTACATCATGCCTTTCTGCCATAACTCAGCATTAGCTGTTATAAATAACTATGCAGCGTCCTTAATGCTTTGCTGCTTGGAAATTTCTTCTGCCAGATACTCTGGTTCACAACACTTAAGTTCCACCTTCCACAAAGTCCAAGGGCATGGACACAATGCAGCCAAATTCCTTGCTATGGTGTAGCAAGGGTGATCTTTGCCCCAATTCCTGATAAGTTCGTCATTTCTATTTGAGACCTCATCATCCACATGGTCTTTACAGTCCACGTTTCTATTAACATTCTGGTCACAGCCATTTAAACAATCTCTAAAATCTTCCAAACTTTCCCTTATCTTTTTCTCTTCTTCTGAGTCCTCCAAACTCCTCCAACCTTTGCCCATTACCCAGTTCCAAAGCTGCATCCACATTTTCAGGTATCTGTATAGCAACGCCCCACTCCTGGTACCAATTTTCTGTTTTAGTCTGTTTTGTGTTGCTATAACAGAAACACCTGAGACTGGATAATTTATAAAGGACAGAGGTTTATTTGGCTTACGATTCTGGGACAGCTGCATCTGGCATGGGCCTCAGACTGCTTCTACTCATGGCGGAAAGTGGCAGGCAGCCAGCGGGTACAAGCAGATCACATGGCAGGAGGAAGCAAGAGAGAGAAGAAGCAAGAGAGAGAGAGAGAGAAGGTGCCAGGGTCTTTTTAAGCATCGAACTCTCACAGGAACTAATAGAGTGAGAACTCACTCATTAATCCCCCCTCCCCCAGGGAGAGCATTAATCCATTCATGAGGGATCCACCCCCATGACTCAATCAGTTTCCAACACTGTCACATTGGAGATCAAATTTCCACATGAGTTTTGGAGGGGACAACACATCCAAACTCCATCAGTATCCCACTTTAATCTTTGTTCTTCTAGGTTTGTAGTAATTAACATGAGTATAAATCTTTATCATAACTATCCACTCTATCATTACTCCAGCATATCAAAATAACTTGGGTTCAGGGGCCGGCCCGGTGGCGCACTGGATGGTGCGCCGCTTGGGAAGCGCGGCGGCGCTCCCGTCCGAGGGTTCGGATCCCACATACAGACCGGTTCCCGCTCACTGGCTGAGCGAGGCGTGGGAGCAACGCTGAGGCTTGCAATCCCGTTGCCGGTCCCCGGTCCGGTACGGGGGCAACACTGAGGGTTGCGATCCGTTGCCGGACACGGAAAAAAGACAAAAGACAAAAAAAAAAAAAAAACTTGGGTTCAGATGGTCCATTACTCTTCAGTATCAAGAAAAGATACGCTTCTTAATAAAGAAAAAGCCAGGCTTGCCTGAGTCCAGAATCCATTGTTGTGTGTGTCTCACATTGTGACCCCAGTGACTGAAGCTTTCCATTCTTTAGGGAAATAGACATTCCATAACAACACATAGTAACTGTGACAGAAAAAACAACAGAGACTGTCATCTCAAATATTTGAAGCTAAATTTTAGAAAATCTCTTAACTCATATAGTTATTGTAAGAAGTTTTTATTTTCTCTTTTTGTAACATTTCATTCATTGTTTCAGCTGGAAAAAAATGAGGTATGAAGAAATTACAATTAATAGAAAAGGCAAAGGTGCTGTATGTGTTATGTTAGTGATTATGCTTATTTGCCACGAGGCAAAGTCTGCAGAAGTAACCATCAGTGATTAGCCGTCCTAAGACAGACCATTTCCTTCTAAAATGTTTTTCTTATTCTTAGATAAAATTGCGCAAGTTCCGTTTCTTAAGAAATGTAAGAAAGCAGGACTTCTTAATGACTTATTTGAAGAAATATTAGACAAACTTCATTTGATTCAAGAAAGACTCATGGATGAGACTACTTCAGAATCAGGTACTGAATAAGCAATATTTCTAAATATAGAGACTTCTCACAGCCCTAGGTGTAAAACAAAACAAAATGAAGGAAAAAAGTACACATTTTCTTTCCATTCTGTTTCCTTTTTCTTTCTGTCTTCTGTACCAGATCTGCTGTCTTTTATAAATCAACAGCATGTGGGTAATTCACAAACTCAATAATGTAGTAAAAAGTAGCTTGATGCTCTGAGAAATGGCATGTGTATTCCAGAGGTGCTAACAGGTGACCATTCAGAGAAAGGCATGTTCAGAACAGGGTTGGGCCACGTCTGCCCCGACCACCTGCATGGTTGTTGCTGAGATCTGAGAATGATGTTATGTTACAGTTTTGATTGGACACTAAGTCTATTCCTTAATAAACCAAGTGTCCTTTTTAAAATAATATTAACTCAAAGTTTAAAGTATAGAAGTAATTTTAATGTTTTGATTGATGTTGGGTTTAGTTGAATATGAACTTTTGTAAAGAAGTTTCGTAAGGAGCTCTTTGGGAAGCTGAAGTTCCATGTGTATATGCAGGTATATAGCTACTTAGCCTTCTTATATCATGACCTTAAAAACTTTATTATAAATATCGTTATTTTATAAGGGAAAGCTTGACAGTCTATATTATAGGCAATAATATAAAATATATGCTTATTTGAAAGGGATTATTTTCACAGGACAAAACCAAAAAGTGAAATTAAGAGTAAACATTTCCATTTACATTCTTTTACTTGTTTTCTAGACCAAGCAGGGCCTCAGAGTCGCTTGGAGGGCTTGTAAATCACAGATTGCTGGGCCTCCCCCCTGGGGGTTCTGATTCCATAGAAATGCCAAGAATTGACATTTCTAACAAGTTCCCTGTGATGCTACTGCTTCTGCAGTCTAACACTAAAGTTCCACAGTAGATGACTGCTCTTTTACTTTTCCCTATTTTGGCTTATTTTCTGAGGTATTTCTGCCTATACAAATTATTAAAATTAAAACTAATACTGAAAATGTTTTTCTCCCTCCAGACTATGAAGAAATTGGGACATCACTTTTTGACTGTGGATTGTTTGAAGACACATTTGTAAATTTTCAAGCAGGTAGATATATGAGTTATAAAATAACCGAGCAGCATAGTTTAAAAATATTTATCACATATACTGTACTGATATAATATAATAATATGTAAGTGATAAAAATTATATTTTATAAGAATGTGCACTGTTTTACTAAATGAAAAAAAGTCCATTATAAAAACAGTATGGCGTTCCAGTCAAAATGGCAGTATAGGCGGTCCCCTGCTTCACCCTCTCCCACAAATCAACCAATTTACAACTATAAAAATGTAAAATCAGCCAAACCGGGGCCGCTAGAGCTCAGGGGAAGAGGAGGAGAGACCTATGGAGTTCATGAAAGTGGGAGAAATCATGATGAGAGAAAAAACTGCTCTGAGTGTTTCGGGCCACAGCTGCTTTAAGGCTCGAACTGCTGAGCGCATGGAGCAAGAGCCGGCAAAAGCCGCAGCTGTGCCCTTCAGATGGAGTTACTTGGAGGCAGCAGGGGAGAAGAGGGCCTTGTGGCCCCCAGGACAGCAAGACCACTAACAGGGTTCCCATGGACCCACGCAGGGTTGAGGAGCCAGAACAGCTGAAAAGGGACCCATTCAGAGGCCAGTGAGTCATTGCAAGGGACTGGTGTACATCCCATCCCGTGGGAGGTATTTGGAGCACAGGTGGTGGGGGAGACAGGTCCACTGGGAGAACACTGGGACACAACAAGGACAGCCAATCTGCACCCCAATTGGTGCAGGACCAATCAGAGGAGACTGGTCGGGACTGCAGAATTGCATGGGGTGCAGTTTGATGAAAAAAACTCAGGCCCAGATCAGAGTTTCTACACAACCCAGGTGCACCGAGTCTTGGAGAGCTGGAAGTACCTATAAGGTCAACCATTAAACCCTGAGCTGCACAAAAAACCCTCCCTAGGGAAACAGGAGCAAAGCAGCAATTTAGCTCAACACAGCTCAAGTACTGGTTCCCACAGGAAGTTCCCCTGTTTTAGAAGCAAGCAAAGGACAAAAAATTAGTTCTGGCCCAGGAATACTAAGCACCTTCAGGCCTGCCAGAGGACATGAGGCATGGAGCTGAGGACCAGACACCCCCCCCACACACAACCAGGCACACTGCCAGTGTCTAGGGGCCTGCCTGGGGACCTGAATCATGAAGAAGTGGACCAGACTCCCCTCCCACAACCAGACACACTGCGCCACCATCACAGGGCCCACCCAGTGACCTGAGGCATGGAGCCGGGGACCGGACCTCCCTCCCACAACCAGGCACACCATGCCAGCACCTCGGGGCCTGCACAGGGACCCGAGGCATGGAGAAGGGGACCAGACCCCTTTCCCACAACCAGGCACACCACGCCAGCACCTCAGGGCCCGCCCAGAGTCCCAAGGCACAGATCCAGGGACCGGACACTTCCCAGAACTAGGCACACAGCCAGCACAAAGGAGCATGCAAAAAACATCACCTCCACTTGGGTGGCCCACCATAGCCACCACAATAACCATAGCTGCCACAAAAGTGGCTAGACACCACAACCACCATGCAGATGGTCTGCTAGCCACTGGAGTGTATTGACACAAGGAGAGTTACCAGCAGAGGTAAAGAAGAGGACATCTCTCTCCACAAAGCTCATTTCAGAGTGACAGAAGAAGCATCTGCTCTATGATAATATTGGGGGACCTGATCACACCTCTCAGCATTGAACAGATCATCCAGGCAACAAATCAACAGAGTAACCATTATTCTTTCAGAAGGAGAGAAGAAATCTAGGGTGATTAGAGTGGGGAGAGAAAGGATGATCGGGAGAGATTGGACAAGGGGCATAAAGAATAAGTATGATTTGTAACAATATATATGTCAGTAATATTGATTTGATCAACATATCTCAATGTTGAACCCCAAAAATATGTATAATCAATTTGATTCAATAAAAATTTTAAAAATATATAAATAAAAACAGTATGACCGCCCCCCCACACACACACACAAAGAAAAAAACAGTATATAGACAACAAATGCACACAGAAAAACTGCACCCAGTGGAAACAGTAATTATTGATAGGCAGTTGGATTATAGTGATTTCTTTTGTCCGTTCTTTTAGTGCTATATTTCCCAAATTTTCTACATATGCATGAATACTTTTGTAATCAGAAAAAACTCATAAAAAAAAGTAGAAATAACAAAAAATGGATTTCAAAATTGGAATGCATTTTGGCATGTGTGTGGGTTCAGGCAGGAGACTTCCCAGCAGCCTCTCTGCTCTTGGGTGGAGAGGCTGTAATAAGCCATCCTGCAGCCTGCCTCCTTCTCACTTGGTAAGATATGTAAACATTTCAATTCTCCCAACAGTAATCTTCAAATCTAATCCAATATCTTATTGGGGGAAGGGAGGGTTGTGACTGATTCTTACGTTTATCAGAAAAACTGAGCAATAGCCAAAAATTTTTGTAGAAGAAAAACTGGTGTGGGTTGTCAGGGAGGGAGACAACCTTCCCATAAAATATGCCCGTTTATCGAGTCCTCCTTTCAGTATTAAGAAACCTTCAAGACCAGATAACTTTCCATTTATTTATGAGTCTGGTCTGACTTCTCTATCAAGGCTACCTCACACAGCAGGGCAGGCTGTGCACTGCACCTCGTGGATGGGAGTCGGGGCACAGACTGACACGGAAGTTGGTGTAAAGGGCTCCCTCTGAAGTGGCCTAACCCTCCACTCTCCCACAGATGCATTTGTCTGAGGTTTTCCCTGTAGAGAAGACATTAGCTCATATCCCTGTCTCAACATACACAACCTTTATTTTGGTTTTCTACATCACAGGTTTCTATTTGAATTTTGTATTAACACCTATGATTAGAGAAAAAACTTTTTAAAATCTACCCCCAAAGTGTATCTTTTAATGTCTCTTGAGGATATGTGCTAATGGGAGTATCCTTATTTTTTAAAAAAGCAGCTTTAAAATCTTTTTCTAAAAAGCTTTATTTTATAGGGGACTTTCATCTATGTTTTTTTTTCGTATAAAAGAAATACATTTGGAACATGTCACTCATGTCTGTAGGGACATGTCACACATCACTACTTGAATGGGTTAGTTGGGACAGTAGACCCTTGGTATCCGCAGGGGGATTGGTTCCAGGACTACTCACCATCCCCCCCAGCAGAAAATTCAAGGATGCTCAAGTCTCTGATATAAAATTGTATATAGTATTTGCATACTACGTATGCACATCCTCCCATATACTTTAAATCATCTCTAGATTACTTATTCTACCTAATACAATGTAAATGCTATGTAAATTGTTACACCGTATTGTTTGGGAAATAATGACAAAAAAAAGCCTGTATATGTTCAGTATGGACACGACCACCCATTTTTTTCCCAAATATTTTAGATCCATAGTAGACTGAATCTACAGATGTGGAACCCACAGATACAAAGGGCCAACTGTATATTATAATGTAGTATTTGGGGGGTGTGGGACACCAGGAGACACTACTTGGAACTACATAAGAACCAACTTAAAAGGCTTAACTTTTGACACCCAAATGATAAAGACTCTCTTAATTTAGCCTTACTGATGTTTCAGGTTAACTATAGGTATGCAGTTATTCTGAAGATTATGTATGTTTGTATTTTAAAAACTCTTCAAGGCTTTTTTAAAAATTACATTGCCACTGTATATTATTATATATAAAGGCTAACTAAAATATTTTCTTCCTAAATTTCCCCAATAAAACCTTCCTATTCCTATGTAAAACTAGTAGCTTTTATGTAACATTCAAAACTGGATGCGCCTCTATGAAAAATGTGCCATTATCCTTGATATTCTAGCCACATTCTCTCCCCAATCATCTCTCAACAGATAAAGCATAGCATGAAGGTTATACAGTCACTGTTTTCAAATTCTCAAAGATGTACAAAAGGGAATTGTTCTGCTATAAATATATATAACATCTTAAAGATTTACTGATCAGTTTTGTGTGTGATAAGTGCTAGATTTGTAGCCTGAATTAGAAGAAAAAGCAAAGGCACAAAAGAACCAGTTCCTGCTCACAAGATTCTTTTCATTTGAGCCACAAGTATTGTGTACTGTATACTGGCAAGTGAAAAGGACTAGAAATAGTACATTATTTATGATAAAAGTACTGAATAATCTGAAATCACTTTATTTCTTCTTTTCATAGCAATAGAGAATAAAATTCATGAATCTGAAAAAAGGCGGCAGCAGCTGAAGGAAGAGATTGAGCTACTTCAGGACTTAAAACAAACCATGTGCCATTTTCAAGTAAACAGAGACCTCAGGTCAAGTTCTACGTCACTGTCTTCCCTGTCTTCCTAAGGATTACCATTTCCTTAGCCAGGACTCAGGCAAAATTGCAAGCAGACTCAAAGCGGAGACCCAGCCAGTGAAAACTGCACCTTTGGGACTAGACCTCTCATCTCTCTCTAGGCCACAAACTGTGGTCTCCACCAGCTCTTACCTGTTCTTACTGATTGACATTTTATGCCCAACTTGGTGTTTATTGCCTCCCTCTATCACCAACTCACCTCTCTCTCTTGCTCTCCAATAAAATGTTTTTCAGATTCTGCTGGAGTAAATTGCATCATGCCTCCCATCTCTCCCACCCTCTGCACTTAAAGTCCTATGGGTAGCTTCCTGCTAGTTTGTCCCTCCACCCCCTAGTGATCTAAGTTGATTCCAGTAACACACCAGGTGCTCCTACCCCCAGGGCCTTTGCACATCCTGTTGTGAAGTCTTAACTGCTCTTTTACCTTTCTCTGCCTTCTCCTGGGGATCTCATGATAACAATCTCTCGTTTGTTCCATCTCAGAGTACTTTTCTTTCATATCACTTCTTAGTGTAACTGAATGTATCTTACATGAATCACACCACTGGAGTATGAGTTCTGAGGGCAGTAACTCACTATTCCTGTGTTTTGCTTACTTTATATTTTGCTCACTATCGTGTTCCCACCACCTAGCACGCTCAATAAATGTGTGTGGAAAGCATGCATAAAATGTTCTTGAGACTAGTTCCAGCCTATAATGGCTCTTGGAGATAAATTTGAACTTACTTTTTGTACCAAATTTATTTACCTGTGTTCACGTCACTTCTGCTTTTTAAATTTTTTTTTTTCAGCCACAATCATCACAACAGCATTCATCATTTTCAGAACCTATGCCTACATTTAAAACTGGACTCTATGAATAAGAACAGCAGTGGGAATATGCAAGAATGAAAAACATTAATTGTTAAGATTTTTACGACCTAACGATATACAATTCAGATTTTTAAGCACATACTACCATGTATGACTCCTGAAAATATTAACAGTTCTCTTTACCATAGTACTCTGATTGATTTGCAATAATGCTACATTTCAGAATGGATTTGATCTGAGTCCCCAGCGTGGTGTCTGACACACTAAGTTCTCAAAAACTATTTGTTAAAGGAAGACTACAACATAGACCAAAAAGAACATTCCATTCCTGTTGTAATGGTAACCCTAGCCCAAGTCATTATTACTTGAAGGACAAAAACGTAAATCAGTAATTTTCAAATTTGGCTGTACATCAGAATTATCTGGGGCACTTTAAAAACTACAGAAGCCAAGACTCCATCTGAGACCCACTGAATAAACATTTCCCCTGGTCTATCTGACTCCAGCTTCCTATTGATACAACATCCTACAGCAAAGCTTATCTAATGGTTTTGATGTCATGATCTTTACTGAAAAACTTTTGTTCCCTGCTTTACTTTGAAATTTAATCTATCATTCACAGTAGGTAACTTGGCATAATGTAGCAACATGTGTTTAGTGGTCAAAAAGTAGGCAAACATTGGGCAAACTGCGAAAACAGACCTGGATTTGTACTTCAGCTATGTCGCTACTGAAAAACTTTAAACAAATTATTTAATCTATCTAAGCCTCATTCTACCTATGTTATGGGACAAAATGTATATACTAAATAAAATGTATGTGAAGCACAGGGCACAGTGTTTGGCACTGTGGGATATGTAATCAAACACACACACACACACTCTCTCTCTCTCTCTCTCTCTGCCAATGTTTCCTTCTAAAAGGCCCTGGCTTGTTTTTTGCTCTTCCACTTACCCATTGTTTTGGAGATAAGCTAAAAGGACATGTTATGTATTCACTTATACTTCACAAGCAGTTTCTTCAGAACAACTCCTTATCATGTTAACCAGATTGGGTTCTATTATGAAAAGCTGTTCATAAATATCTTACTGTGTTGTTAATTCCTAAACCTATCTCCCCTCTCTCCTAATAATTTATATATTCCTTGCTAATAGGAACTATGTCTTTCCCTTCATTTACCATTACCCCTGAAGGATTCGTATATTTTTCCGCTGTGACAGTTCAATTGTACTATCTTTCAGCAGAAATAAAATTCAAGGATTTCTATGATGTATGTGTGTGTATTAGTTGAAAATCAAGCAGTTGACATGTTTATGGTGGTACCTATTTTAGCCTGATACCTGTTAAGAATCATACTATTGAATTTTTTTTTAAATTGTGGCAAAATATACATAACAAAATTTACCACCTCAACCATTTTTAAATGTACAGTTCAACGGCACACTCATATTGCTGTGCGACCATCACCGCCATCCATTCAAAGAAGTCTCTTCATCTTGCAAAACAGAAACTCTCAACCCATTAAACAATTCCCCAATTCCCTCCCCCAGCCCCTGGCAACCATCAATCTACTTTCTGTCTCCATGAATTTGATTACTCTACTACTTTCCATAATGTAAGTAGAATCATATGCTATTTGTCTTTTTGTGACTGGCTTATTTCACTTAACATAATGTCCTCAAGGTTTATCCATGTTGTAGCATGTGTCAATTTCCTTCCTTTTTAAGGATGCATACTGCTGATTGTTGAGGGGGGGAAAACAACTCTACATGCCTGTTTTAATGGATTACTTTATTAATATGTCATTCTAAACATTACATAAATACAGCCTATATACTAGAGTATCAAACATTGTTCCAGTAAGAAGTTCAACAAGAGTACATTTAGGGCTATTTTAAGAAATGTGAATACTTTGGCTTCCATTATTACATCAGATGGAAAAAAACCAATTTAAAGAATAGTTTTCATCTCCTGCTATGATTAACAACAAAACCAAGTAGAAAAATACAAGAGTGTATTTTTTTTAAAAAGATACTCAAGTATTTTTTGAAGGACTTATTTTTGTTCTCTTCACTTCCATACATACTCATACAAATTACTCAGTAATCTAATATGAGAGGTGGTTCTTCACCTATATTAGGAATTCAGTAAATATTTGTTGAATGAACGAACTATCTATGGATATGGATCTACTTACTACTTTAATTTGTGCTTTTTTGAAATTTTTTTTTCAAGTAAGAGCAATAGTAAACATACTGAAGTTCTCATTTTGTTCAGAACATAACCCTACAGAACAGTAATTGTTACAAACACTACCCATCATAGCTAATAACCAAATTAATGTGAATTTATCAACCTAGAAAGAAAAATTCTATCATGTTATAGGACTAATTCTAACCTAATAATTTATTGGGCTTCAATCACTTGTGATGATCAAGAAAAGGGGGCGGGGACTTCTAGGTTTGCATGTATTTTGCTTATCAGTGAACTCCTATATATGGGGCCTCACTCCCCCTCCTACCCCAATAAACACACGTTTAAAAACACTGCTAAAAATAGCAGCTGCAGCATGTCTTTGCCCTCTTGTTAATTTGGCTCTGAAACTAGTCAGGCTCCAAGTTCAGAAGGGGGACCTTCCAAGCACGGAAAGTTCACTCGGGGAGCTCACATAAACAGAAACAAGTTCATATCAGAGAGCAGAACAAAGCTTCATTCTTAAAGCAAGCTCAATGGACATAACATGATAAAACTTAAGGTTGAACACTCTTACATCACAAAGTCATGTTTCATAACCAGATTTTTAAAACGTGCATTTTAAATAGAATCTTTTCAAGAAAATCTTAATTTTGACCCTTTCTCAAGATTAAATTGAGTTAAATATTGTACCTAATACAATTAAAAGGAGAGGCACATCAAAAATGAAAAGTAGTGTAGTTTCAAATAAGCAAATTTGTGATGGTATTTGGCCTAAAGAGGTACAGCAAATTCCATTAAGCCCTAAAAGAAAGTCGGTTTTAAGAAGTACTTCTTTACATTATGTGTAGCAGACCTGATGACTGAGCAGCAATAACTTAGGAAGGCAGGCAAGAGTACACTGTACGTCGTCATTTTCCTCAACAGTTATTAGCACTTATAGGGGAAAAAGAGGAGGACAATTTAAATTTGAGTTCTCAAATCCTACCATAATGAAATAAAAAATAAAACACTGTTGAATAAGTAAAGGAGATTCTAATTTATAAAATATTCACCCTTATCCAAATGCGGTTTCTTTCATTATCAACTTTTCAAGGATAGTTCAAAATTACTACTCTTCATGCACTTAAATCTTAAGAGAAATCTTGGCTAACCTAGAAATTTATCTTTACATAATTATTTTAATAGTTTTAACTTATGTTAAACTGAATATTACTTTGATATACCTTGAAGTTAAAAAAAAGTCATCGATAGCAGAAGCACACAAACAAAAGCCTCAAACAATCTTAACTATTCCTTCACAGTAAGGATCCTGAACTAGCAACTAATGCAGCACTTCCAGCATCTTTAATTCATGGTAGGGCCTCTAAGTTCATCTCACAATTCACAAACTATTACAATTTCTGGTATCAAAACGTCCTTGATGCATGGCCCAGGAGGGTAATTACCAACTTCCCCTATCCATGTTCAGAAGTTCCTCTAATCAAAAACAAAAACAGCTAAACTTGTTACAATGTTCCAGGCCAAATATAAGAAAGGTCACATTTAAAATATACATATCTGCAAATAAGAGTTGTTTAAAATGGGCTCAAGAAAAGCCGTTACATCCTTCATGTATTCCTACACAGAGACTGTGTCACAGATGTGGGAAAAAAAAAAAAAAAAACCTGATGGTTTTTTACCTGCAGAATTACATCACCCGTAGAGCACACACTGGGCACAGCATCAGCAGTGCCCCTGAGCACTCACAAACCCAGCAGCTTGTGCTTCAGTTCTTAAAGGCTCCACATTTACTGGCTTTAGCAATGAACTCCTTTAGCAGAGGGCCATCCATTTGCCAAAATGCTGCAGTCTGTGTAACTTCTGTCAAATGATTGATGCAAAACTTAAAGCAGAATTCTTCTAAATCCTGGACACACACAACAAAAATAAAAACAAGAAGAGGCCTTTTTTTATTAACTATGACTGATTTACTTCTTTCCAAGCCCCTTACCCCAAATCTCTCACCCTCCCCCAGAAAACATATTTCAGAGGCCAGATGCCTCAAACTAGGCAAACAAGTGACCACAGACAGGTGTCAGAAAAACTCATACTATTTACTCACAACACAGAAAAAGCAATGGTTCCCCTAACTCAAGTGTGACTCTTTAAAACACACACACACACACATTTCTCTGCGGATATCATATAGACTAGTTATTCTCAAAGATGTAAAAAGCCAAATGCCACTTTAGTCCATATTATGTGTTTTGTCATATTCAAGCAAGAGAAAATAATTAACATGTGAGTTAGTTGGTTTAAGGAAGAGAAAAATTTAAGAAATATAGAAAAGTGATGAACCGTTGTGGTCAACCTAAAGTGACACATTAAAAAGAAAATCCCCAAAATCTTAAATTCATTTTCATGCTCTCCTAATAAAAATGACTTCATTTTTGAAGCTACAAAAATATATATACCCCTCTTCCATCACAGATAGATTTTCCACAGGAAAGTAACCTATACAAGTGGTAAACCAGAACTATTTAAAAATCAATTTCTGCCTATGCTAATATATCCTTTCATCCCCTCCAAAACTCTAATATTGTTTGTTCCTTTAAATGTTGGAACATATATTTATTAAATCAGTTAGGCACGTGGAATGTATACGAAGACAATATATATATATAAGCAAATCATACTAAAAGCTCTTACCACAAATAGCTTGAGTTTTATAACTTGGCCAGCTGGTAAGTTCTACACTGAAGGTCAATACTTAGGGTTCTATTGAACCAGTTTAAACTGCAGGGTCTTAGCTTCACATTGTTCAAGATTGTTAGGCTTAAAACTTTTTAAATTAATTTTTTTTTTTTTTCGTGACCGGCAACGGATCGCAACCCTCAGTGTCGCGCCCGTACCAGACCGGGACCGGCAACGGGATCGCAACCCTCGGTGCTGCCCCCGCTCCTCGCTCAGCCAGTGAGCGGCCGGTCTGTATGTGGGATCCGAACCCTCGGTGGGAGCCCCGCCGCGCTTCCCAAGCGGCGCACTGTAGCAGTGCGCCACCGGGCCGGCCCCAAAGCTTTTTTAATTATTAAAAAAATAGAATTCCAAGAAAGACAAGAAGGATTCTTTGACCAGTAGATGAAAAAAGTTCATAAGAGAATGAAAGTCTTCTTAAGGTCCATGGAACAGGGAAGTGAAGAAAAGGGTGTAAAACCGAGGGGTCTAATACAGTCTACTTGATATTAGAAACTATACTCTATGTTTATGATATTCTATGGTGAGATTATAATAAAGTGGTTCAAAGGCAAATCAGATAATATAGATTTATTGTACTTAACAAGGAAGATGAAAATTTAAAATTGCAATTCTGAAATAATTTATAAATTCATTCCAAATCTTTAAACGTTTAAATTATTCCAATCAATATACAAACTCTGAAAATAAGTTGTTTTTCCTTTCCACAGATTTTCTTTAGTAACAAAACAAAACGAAGAATTGATAGTCTTAATATCCTTATTTTTTTAAATGCTAATTCAGCCTTTAACAAAGTTCTTATCCAGTCCTAAAATTCCACAGCTAAAAGAAGTGAATGTTAACACTTCTTTGGAAGACTAGTTAGCGGGGGTGAGACAGGTTGCCTTTGTGTCATAAGCCACCCTTGAGACACATTCCAGATGGCAAAGGATCACGATCCACACCTAACTCTGTCCAAACCTGTTGTTAAAATAATTACAAAACAAAACCCAAAACCATAAGTCTACAATTCATTTTATAGTGTATCAAGTACAAAATATTACAGATCAAAGTGGATTTTGTTTTTCAGAACATATTTAAATGTCCTACCATATGAGAAAAAATGAGCGTGCTTTCTCTCAGTATACAAAAAATGTTTCACAGCCTACTGATCATGGAAAACCTCACTTGGCGCACTAAGAGAAGAAAAAAAAATGCTGACCATCTAAGCTTTAGCACAAAGCTTTCCAATACTCATACTGGTTGGGGAACCAATTTTTGAATTAGATCCCTAGGCTCATATTTATTGCTTCCGGCCAAAAGCAAAATCATAAGCTGTAAGTTGCTCAGCAAAGAGCCTTTTCTGGAAAGTTCCCTACTCTGGTTAAACAAATAATACTTCCCAAATGTTTCTCCTAATGTTCAAATATACATAGAAAAACATTTCTTGAAAAAAAATCAGTATAAAAAGAATCATTCCAAAATTTTTATAATGTGATAATGAACTGTCTTGAGACAATATTTTATGCACATTTTCTCCCTTGACATCAATATTTATTCAGGTCTGTACTGGAGGAATATGTAAGCATTCCTTTTTCAAGCCCTTTTTGATTAAACTTGTAGGAAATTTGATAATACATTTATAACACATGGGCTCCACAAGAATCAGCTTACTTTTTCAAATCCTTGTAATTACTGAGTCTATACATTTTGTTGCTTCAAAATTATCTTGTCAAAGTGGACATGGAGGAACCGTAATAACTTTTATAGAAAACAGAAGAAATATGAGAAGCAGGTAGTCTCCATTTTTCTAGCATTTTGACCCCCAGAAGGAAGGCAAAGTCATCTTGCATCCCTAAGTTGAGCTCCTGAAAATAACAGTTTTGGCAGTTAATTTCCAATCTCACTTATTAGTAGCTTCCAATCAATTAATATAGTAAGTGGGTTTTATTTTTGTACTCTAAATACTTCACTTATTTACTTAGTACATTCTATAGTATTAAGAAAATAAAATGTAAATGTACATTAGTCAATTATATAGCTTGTATCAGAACCTAAAAAATATACCCTAGAAAGAAAGACGCTATTTTTTTTCTTTTTGTCTTTTCTGTATTCTCTAATTTTTCTACATTGAATGTCTACTATTTGTGGGGTTTATGTTTTGGGGTTTGTTTTTTTAAACATTTTTTTTAAAAGCATACCTTCACGGTGAGATGTCTCAAATACAATTCACTCATTCATTCATTTAATTCAACATACATTTTTGAGTGACAACTCTACACCCACACTGTGACCGGCTCTGAGTAATCACATGTACTTGCAGTCTCTCCACAGGAACAGTTTTAATGTGCATACTTAATATAAGAAAAATGAAAACTAGTGAAAGAAATGATCAGCTGGCATGGGTACAAGTGGCAGGCATAAGGCTTTCTCTGCAGACTTTACAGGGTAGATTTTAGCGGCAGAGGAGGTAGAAATTTCCAGTAACTACAGCCAAAATGTCTGCCTCTGACCAAGTTGTTCTGACTGGTGTAATCTCCCTGGTAATCCCAAGTGTGTAACTTGTTAATGGGAGGAGGACTTTGGAGAGGCACAGAGAAGATTCTGAAATCAATCACCAAACTGAAAGAAATGGCATCAACCCAATTTAAAATTATATCACTGGGTAGAAATGAAACCTAAAGAAATAGCATTTCTATTCTTAGTTGCCTTTTTTTTTTGGCAGCTGGCCAGTAAGGGGATCTGAACCCTTGACCTTGGCGTTATCAGCACCGCACTCTCCCAAGTGAGCTAACCAGCCACCCCCGCATTTCTAAGAAAGAGGTTTATGGTGTCACAGGAAGAACAGGAAAAAAATTCAAACCTCCATTTTTCCGTCAGAAGTGATTTACTTTGATCATCTTTCTATCTGTTGTCAGGCCTCAGGCAAAGTCAGCTATATTTGACCTTATTAAATATTTATAATTATAATATAACCTCAAACAAAAACAGGATACATTTTGAAAATACGAGATGTAATGGTCAACCTCAATCTCTAAGTGTGATAAATATGAAGTTTGTCCTCTGTTATACCTCGAAGGCCATAGCTACAGACCTTTGCAGGTAAATTCCCTGATACCAGGTATTCTGCCTGGTCAAATGATGACAAAATACCTATAGTAGGCTAATTGTGTTATTTAACATGCATACCTTAGCTAGACATCTTGAATGTCACCAACCTTTAGCTCACTAATTGTCCTGAATGCCTTCTTTAGGTGGTACTACCTTCGTTGAGTTCAACATTTATCATCAAGTATCTAATACCTGCCAGGCACTGTAGGGTCACAGATGAATAAGATACAGTTCCTGCTCATGAGGAGCTTACAGTCTGATGCTTTGATTCTTAACTTTAAAAAAATGCACATAAACAAAATTTCAGACTCCTAAAAGCCCATTAATTCATAGACTCTCATAGAAATCCATGAATCCCAGATTAAGAATGCAATCCAGTGCAAAAACAAAAAGGAGCCCACATGAAGTTCTTAACATGTGAATAACTGTAAGTTATAATTAGACAATAATAGAATTTCAGAGCACACACAGATATAAATCATACAGCATTCTTGGCTTATGACAGGGTAGAGTTGGGGACACAGCAAAGTGGATCTTGAAAAAACATATATGCTGACCCTGAGAAAGACTTGAAACTAAAATACACAGTTTGTTAGTCCAATTGGGTGTGGCACCTTATAGTCCAACCTGCAGTACAGCTGCTGGGACCTCAGTCAGTTAGTTTCTTATCTTAGTTAAACTGGAAGTAGAGAAACAAGGAACAGAAAATAAAGAAGCAAAGCCAGATTTCAATTTTTAAGGATCAATCAGTTCACTGACTAAACAAGAGTGGCTTTGGTTTTCTGTTTGCTGTTTTATGTTACCTCTGCATCATATCTGACCGCAGCAGAGAATAATGAAAAGGCATTCTCCACAGTAATTCCTCTCTTGATAATGTGCTGACAGAGCTTTTTCAATCTGTTTTCACAGTAAGATGTTGCCAAATCCAAAAGACCTAAAAGTAAAAAGTGTGAAAGATTTCATCAAGTTTACAATAATTTCCTATAATTTAGAAACATACATATTTCACTTTGGTGAACAGTTATGTAGTAAGTCAGTAGAAGTTTCTCAGCAAATAACATTCTGAATTTGAATAAATAAATTCTTTTTTACTCCCTAATTCTCCCACCTCCAAAAACATGCCTCTCCTATACGCTTTATTCGACATTTTCTATAGTACCAAAGAAAAAACATGAAATTTCCCCCCAAACTTTGCTTCCAAAATGCTAAATCCATTAGCAACTTATACGTCAATATTTAAAAATTAAGATAAGTCCACAGTCATAAACTGTGTCTGCAATGATTAACCATGACAATGACACAATACTATTTTTAAAGACATTTACTTCAAATCCTTTTTAAAAACCATGTAAAAGCCAATAAACCTGAAACTTTTCACATTTCGCTACTCTAAGCACGTGAGGAGCTATCTGCCTGCCCACACGGCTTGGCCAGTCCGGTGCGGCTCGGGTACCTATGGCGTCTTCAGGAGACAGATCCACTGTGTCTGTGTAGAGGTACTGGAGGAAGGCACGATACACGGGGTAGGAAAACTGGTCTATTTCTATCACCTCCTTCATGTCCTCATTCCAATAAGACTGGAACATGGATCGAAAGTGTTCACACCTAAAACAGAACAGCAAAAGTTTCCTAATTAAGGTGATGAAATCAGATAAGCAGATATTAGGGGTTCCTTCACTACTATATCTGGGCCCACACACAACAGGATCGTGAACCTTTAGAATTAGCACCCTAAAAACATTCCCTGGCAAGGGCTTTTATGTACAACTTTCATATACACTTTCATTTTTGAGATCTCCTGTTAAATATTAAAACTTATACGCGGACCCTAGAACTACCCAGCACTTCAACAGCACTGCTGTTTCCTTTTGACAGTTCCCACTCTGATCAAGTTTTTTGCTCATTTGTTTATTTTTTAAAAGACATACAGAAATGCATTTTAAACAATGAAAAAAATCCAGAAATGAGAGTTCAAAACTCTGACTATACGTTAATATCATTTAAATGATTCACTTGTTTGTTTTACATAACCAGTAAACTCTTGAAAATGTTTTAAATGTTAACTGGATTATGTAAAGCTGATTATTATTCCATTACCTGATGTGATTTTTCTTCTCTTCTGACTCATCTTAAAAACAGCCACCACTCCTATTTTGTTTCCCTGCCTTGTCTACTCCCTCTCTTCACCTCTCAAGCCTATTACAAAATTATTTATAAAACAGTCAACTTCACTAGAATAGTCACTTATTTCAAGAAAACCTGAGTGGGTCTTTTTAAACTGTATTTACATGCACAAGCCCACCTGCATGAGGAACCGATTTCTGAATATTGGATTTTTTTAAAGTATAACATACTTTATACATTTTTTTTTCTTCCTTTTTTTTTGTCTTTTTCCGTGTCCGGCAACGGATCGCAACCCTCAGTGTCGCCCTCGTACCAGACCGGGACCGGCAACGGGATCGCAACCCTCGGTGTTGCTCCCACGCCTTGCTCAGCCAGTGAGCGGGAACCGGTCTGTATGTGGGATCCGAACCCTTGGCGGGAGTGCCACCGCGCTTCCCAAGCGGCGCACTATAGCAGTGCGCCACCGGGCCGGCCCAACTTTATACATTTTTTTTTGACCAGTCAGGGGATCGCAACCCCAGGCATGGTGTGGTCCACACCACGCTCAATCATTGAGCACACCGGCCATCCCTATATAGGATCCAAACCCGCGGCCTCAGCGCTACCAGTGCCGCACTGTCCCGAGTGAGCCACGGGGCCAGTCCACTTTATACATTTTTTATTTATTTATTTATTTTTTTAAAAGATGACCAGTAAGGGGATCTTAACCCTTGACTTGGTGTTGTCAGCACCACGCTCAGCCAGTGAGCGAACCGGCCATCCCTATATGGGATCCGAACCCGGGGCCTTGGTGTTATCAGCACCGCACTCTCCCGAGTGAGCCACGGGCCGGCCCACTTTATACATTTTTTTAAAAAAATCACCCTTTCAAATTCTTTTAATGTGATATATAGTACAAAGAGACATAAAATATTTTCAAAAATCCATTTGGAATACTCAAAGAATGGCTCCACTTACATAAGAGATTAAAGTAGTCCTCCCCTTTACCTGCAGTTTCAAGTGCCCCCTATCAACTGAGGTCTGGAAATAGGTGAGTACAGTGCAGTAAGATATTTTGAGAGAGAGAGACCACATTCCCATAACTTTTATTACAGCATATTGTTATAATTGTTCTATTTTATTATTAGTTACTATTGTTAATCTCTTACTATGCCTAATGTATAAATTAAGCTTTATCATAGGTATGTATGCATAAGAAAAAACACAGTATATACAAGGTTTGGTGCTATCTGTGGTTTCAGGCATCCACTGGAGGTCATGGAGCGTATCCCCCCAAGGATAAGGGGGACCACTGTACTCCATCTGAAATGTAAAAAAGAAATCGCTGTCTAATTAAAGAATAATGGATGCAGTGGGTCAGAAAACTGTACATGAAAGCAGCAGACTGGCTGAGCACAGGTTCATGGATAGAAACATTTCCAGTTCATCTTTTCAATTAATACCGCGATTCAAATATTTACTCCCTTAGGTAATGAATGACATATGACTTTTCAGTTCCCTTAAAATGTATTATTTTACAAATAAGTTTTTAACTAAATTTCCAAAAAGACTTGTAAATGGACAGTTTAACGGTCTGATTTTATGTGCCTCTTTCTCTGTAATGGCAACCTCAGGGAGCAACAGTCCAAAGAGTTAATAATAAATGCATAGTTTCCTCACATTTATACGAGAAACTCCTACAATTTACTACATCTAAAGAACTTTTCTTTAATTAAAATTTAGATGTCCCTCAGGGCCAGAAGTCCAGTATTCCTATGAGAGTTTTCTACTTGGGGAAAATCAATCTTTAACAGTTAAAAGAAGACCTATATACTTTTCACTGACAACCTTCTGCATATTTTTTAACCATGTAAACACATTTTCAGATGGACATAAGTATTCCTAAGAACCTTAATTTAAAAAAACAATATAGACAAATACTTATACTCCCACATTATACTTTCTCTAAAAGGCACATGAGCAGACAAAGCTCTTTGATAGTAAATGGATTGACACTATCTGCAAAAATATTAAGTTGTGATATTTCTCTCTACTGCCAAGGCTATTTCTTATCAGTATTCATTTTGTGGAATAACAAAGAAATAGAAATGGCAAAAAGAAAGTAAGGTTACTGACATCTCTAAGCTCATGCAAAAATACCTGATTTTCAAAACAGCTTTATGGACATGAATATATTTCCCATCGACTCGAAACTTCAGATCAGCAGTTTCTGGACTATCAAATTCTTTCTTCAGTGACTCTGCAACTGTTAAAAAGTCTTCATGCTCTGAAAGCAACAAACACTATTAATACAGAAATCTCAGGAAACAGATTCAAGATCTGAAAGATTTTTTTAAAAAACCATCATCAGCATGGTGGGTAATTCTATTCGATTTTTATTTCACAAGAGTTCATGCCTTATTTGACAAATCAATTTCATGGTATTAAAATAAGTACCCTGTGCTTATAAACTACCAAAAAGAAATAAAAATATTTGGAAAGGCCAAATAAAATCTTAGTTAAACATTAGAAATGTATATTTAAAAAAGAAAAATTAATTTAAAAGAAAAGTTACAGGTAGTCCATGATGATACAACCACTACTCTCAAAACCTGAGTGGTTCTCTTCTGGTACTAAGAACTTGTCAAATTCCCTTGACTGAAACACTGAGAACATCTTTGCTCTACTCTGGTGTAGTTGCATATTCAACTCAAGGAGGTCCAAGAAACAGACTAACCACTTAAGTGGTAATGTTAAGCAGGCATGTGCCTAAGCAGAAAAACTCTTTTTCCTAGGGATCTGGAATCTAAACATCTCTCTTAGCCCTAAATATCAATGTATAAAGAATAATCCTTACACACTATCTCAAAACAAAGCAACTTTATTTTGAGACAATGTATATGCAAAGGGAACAGTTTTACAAGAACATGTGATCATGTTACCTGATAAGTAGAACTGTGTTATAATGAAGTAAAGGTACTTGTACAAATTCATGCAACACTTTCTTATGCGTCACATGTTTGAAAGAAGGGAAAAAAGTAGAGGGTGGCTAACAGGGAGATAAAAAAATTTCAGAGATCCTCATTGGGCACTGAAGGAAACTGCTATGGATGTAGGAGACAGGTTTCACCTGCCCACGAGCTGAGAAAGGTGACTTAAAGAGCTCAGCTGTCCATGTCTGGGAAGAAGTTGTGTCACTCGGTGCCCTGGTATTTATCAAGGCAACTCTAAGAGGAGGGACAATGACTAAGAAATATTATTTGCCTAAGCCCTGTGACCTCAATCTATAGCCTTCCCTCAACCACACACAACACAGAGCTCTCCTGGCTATGGAGGAAAGGTGGAAAGCCCCTCAAAAATCAGGCTTTCCCTGACCCTCTATCCTGGATCGCTGGTGAATAAAAGAAAGGAAATGACTAAGATGGGTAAGGAGTCCATGGGTCTAGATTGCTACCCCACCCATCCAAAAAACCAGCTTATCCTCAGTGCTTCAACTTTTGCATCTGGCCATAGGGTTGAAATGACCCTCCCTCCCTCTTTGTTTCTGGCAACAAGTGTAACATCTCCTTTCAGAGAAGAATTATTCCTAAGAGTATGAATTCACCATCTGACCTTCCCAACACTCAGCTGAGATCATATACTGAGAGGAAAACAACAGTTCTGATTTTCAGTGGGTGGAAAGAAGTTATCTAAAAGATATATTCAACGACTATATTTTTTCCAAACCTAACATTACAAATGTTAGGACTTTTGTTTTGAAAAGGATGCCTGTGCTACTTTAAGATGCAAGAACCTGGGGAAGCCTTTTACAGACAGCTCCAGGATAAGTATTCAGAAGCCTGAGGACATGTGCAGAAGTGCTTTGGCCCTGCACGCTGTATGTAAGTGTGATTATGGCCAAACAGTCCGGCTTAGTGAACTCATTTTCTTCTATTTGCAATATTCACTGCAAAAAAAATACTGTATTATGGCTAAAGAACCTAGCAAAATTAATTTAAAAGAAATGTTCAGTTGGTTCCACTTTAAGTTGAGCAGCACCTTAACTCTTCCTAAACATACTGTTGCCCCCCACGACCATAACGATTAGCCACCTAATGATGATACAATTCCAGCTGTCTGACACACCTGAGCACAACCCATATTAGAAGACTAACCTATACCAATTGCTGAGCAACCCAAATTCCCTGGTTGTCAAAAAGTACATTAATTTTAAGTACACAGCATCATGACCCACTTATTCCCTCTACTTACAAACAAAAGAACACCTTAGAAGAAATACATTGGCAAAAAGGCAGAAATGAACAAGACATAAAAGAAAAAGAGATTAAAATCACCCTGTTAATGGCTACTCAGCCATAAGATACCTTAATATCTTAAACCAATAATGGACTCAGAGAAAATAATATTCAGAAAAGGTACAGATTATGTAATAAAAGATCATTCTGAATTCCCTACCCTTTATAATACATGTTTTGATGTCCTTCCAAAATAAAGAATTTGAAGCTGGTTGAATGACAAAGAGACAAAGAAGATGGAGTTAACTCATTACCTGAAACACCACAAGTTCTTCACTTTTTTAAAAGTTCATCTTTGATTAGATTAGTATTATATGGAATTATGTAATCAATTTAGTATAACCAAAGCACTTAAGGACAGGTTATTCAAATGCTTAAACACCAATGTTCATAACAGCCCTATTCACAATAGTCAGAAGGTGGAAACAACTCAAATGTCCATCAACAGATAAACGGATAAAAAAAAAATGTGGTATATATGTACAATGGACTATTATTCAGTCATAAAAGGGAATGAAGTTCTGATACATGCACTATGTATGGGCCTCAAAAACATTATATAAAAGCAGCAAAAGATGATGTCATGTTGTATGATTCCATTTTTATGAATATCCACAATAAGTAAATTCACAGGAACAAAAAACAGATGAGTGATTGCCAGGGGCAGTGGGGAGGGAAGATGGGGTGTGACTGCTTCCTGAGCACAGGGTTCCTTTGGGGTGATGAAAATGTTTTTGCACTTGATAAACAGTGGCTCCACCACATTGTGAATGTATTACATGCTACTGAATTGTACACTTTAAAATGGTTAATCTTATGTGAATTTGATCTTGATTAAAATGAAAGTACTTGAGGAGAGAAAATAAGTCGTCTATGGGTATATTCATAATATAGGAATAAATGTGATTACTCAAATCTAATTTAGGGAAAAGTATTAAAGTTAATGGAGAATAAAACATTCTAGAACCTAAAGGAGCCTACAACCAGCAAATAAATAGGAAAATCGATCAGTTGATAGTACCATTCTTCCTGGGCAGAAGTAGCCCTGGGTTTTCTTACCTACAGACAGAAGGCGCCACGTGACGGCGGGGGTGGCAAAGCAGGCGAATACGTCATCTGTGCAGGAGAAGTGGGTGAGGTGAGGCAGGATCACCGACTGGCCCCGGCACTGGCCCCACATGTACACGTTTCCACCTTGGGTCTTGGCGGCAGACGTGTGGGCAGAGTGACAGGCTGCGATCTCTACTACCCTGAAAAGTTTTAAGAAAAATGCATGTCACTTCTTTATCACAGAAGCCCACAGCACGCCACACAAGTTAATTACAAAGTTCATGCTTGGAACACCTCAAAAAATAGCCCAAGATCCAGGGACATCAGCTGCTAAGTCCTATCAACAGAACCAAAAGATCAGGGCACTGTGTTTCCCTCTTCCTGACTGCCTCACTTCTCACCCTATGCTTGCTCTGACTTAGGATAAATAATACATACTGTCGAGGACAACCTACCTGAAAAAACACACTAGAAATCAAAGTAAACGAGGAAAATGAACACTGACAAAATGTCCTGACAGTTCTAGGGGCTTAAATAGTAGCAAAAAAATACCGTCTTCAATATACATTTCCTCATAAGTACGAGGGATCTTCAAAAAGTTCATGGAAAGATTCACATTATCTTTTAACTCTATTTTTTATACGAACTTTTTGAAGTACCCTCCTACAACTTCTTCTCTCATTCCCAACCAGAGCTCAGAACACTTGTTAGGCTACTAAGCACTGGTCTTGGGGTTATGGGCTTTGAACATTTCAATCTGAAGGACTTCAAGTCACACTTCGTCCATTTCTCAGTATGCTTTGTTAGCAGGGTTCCAGAGTCAAAAGTCAACACCCCCTCCAAGACTTAGTGCCTAAGACCTCACCATTTTCCAAACAAACATTAAGCATCTATTCCAGTAACACTCATTAAATAAAACTGATATTTAAACAGATAGTGGCCTTTCAAGAGCAGGTTTCATTTATTTAAAAGCTGTTTTAGTTGACTCAAAGAAAAAGTTTATACCACACTTTGAATTTCAACATGGTCACAGACCCGATTTGACTTCCCTACTAAATGAGCAACAAGAAGTCTACAGGAATTACACCAACTTGTGTTCACGCCTGTCAATCACAGCTTTTTTTAGAAAGCTGCATAAGAATCATATCAACTTCATGTTCATTCTGGCTGGTACTCAAAACTCTTTTGCTCAACATGAGGATGTTAATAAATAGAAAGTCACAAAGCCAAACACCAACCGCAGCTCTGCCACACACAGTCCCAAGGCCACAACACACACAAAGTACCAAGACACGGCACAGCCAAGTTACCTTTCTTTCTCCACCATGATGTGTGCTGGACTTAGCAGGTTATTTTTATTGCCAGTTCCCAGCTGCCCATATGTGTTAGCTCCCCAGGCATAGAGCAAGCCCTCATCTGTTAGTGCTAGAGTATGTGCATAGCCGCAGACAATCTGCAAATAAATTTAAATGGTTACCATTAACAGGAAAACAGGAAGGACAGAGAAAACATCTACTTAAGGATTACAGCCAGCTTCTGCAGAATGCCAATTCATCATCAGATGTAGACTGACATTTGCTGAAACATTTAAAAAAGCATTAGAAAAGCCTAAACCTAGGCTACTGAATTAATTTTTCCATTTTTTTGTTTTCTTTTATTTTAACTTGCCAAAACTGACGTGCCAGCACCATGGTCTTCTTTCTTCTCACGGGAATTTAGGGAAGATGTAATATTAAATACGGTTAATGAAGGCACAGAGTATTACCAGAAAAGCCTAATTGAAGAGTAAACCTCCAATATGCCTCCAAGTCGGAGCAGGGAAGACAGATGGGGACCAGCCAGCATGAGGTCACTACACGTACCTGGTTCACGCACACACTGTGTAAAGCGGCCACTCTCACAGGGGTCAGCTGATTGCCATTGTTTCCCAAGCCCAGCTGACCATTGCCATTGTAGCCCCAGCCATATACCTTAGAGAGGAGAGAAAGGGAGAGAATGGGCTTTTAAAACTGCTGACAAGAAGGAAGAGATAAAAATCCAGTCCATCTAAACAAGTCAGATACTTTCAACACATGTATTCTAGTTTATGTGATCCTACAACTGATCTCCAAATAGAATATATTTCGCAGCTAGGGAATCACAGAATTTGGCATCAGTTCCATGACTTACTAGTTAGAAAGTCACCCTTTCCTGTTTTATATATGAGGAAGCCAAGTCTTGTTAACATTAAGCACTGACTGTATGTGAGGACTCTGTGAAAGGTACTAGGAATAAGTCTTTGATCACAGTTTAACAGAGGAGATGGACACTTGCCAATTTTTTGCAGACAGGTCGCAAGTACTACAGTAGAGATATAATCAAGGCACTATAGGAACAGTGAGGAGAAAGGATTTAGCTCTAGGAAAAAAGTTTAGGGGAGACTTCTTAGTGGAGATCTGAGCAGGGTTGCAGGACGGATGGGGGCAAAGGCATTCCAGGCAGCAGGCACAGACTGTGTTAGAGGCAGGTCCAGAAGACAAGTGGGTGGGCCTGGCTGGACACGTCTCGGGTCATGGGAGGAGAAAAGACCAGAAGGAAAGGCAAGGACCAGGGGATAAAATGACAAAAAAAAAAACCATACAGGGGAAAGTGGACTACACCTATGAATTTTACACTGAAATGTTTCAAAACAAATTTAACTAAATTTGCATTTTTGAGAGATCATGCTGCCCACAACATGAATGGTGACTGGAACGTATAAGATGAGAGGGAGGAAGACCATTTAGTAGGTTATTTTGTCTCTCATCAGCAATTAGGTGAGCTCTGAAAAGGCTCCAAACTAAGGAGTGACAGTGGGACCAAGAGAAGGATTGGACAGGACAGAGGTTAAACATGGGCTTCACTCACGTGGGGGTCCCTTAGATACCTGGAGAGGAAGGAGAACCAGCTGCTGAAAGTAATGGAGCTGGTGTAGGTTTGACAGGAGCGCTAAAGGTTTAGTGTAGCCAGTGTGGGAAGCAGGAAAAAGCACTGACCAGGAACAGACGCAAAAAGGCCTAGCTCAGGTTAGAAACCCAAGATTTGCAGTGGCCCCAAGCCCCACAGCAATGCAGGGCAGACAGGCGTATACTGGGGCTTTTCGAAGTTATGTGATAGAAGAGAAGAGGGGGCTGGCCTATCCTAGTGAGAGACAGTCAAAAGCATTTTCATCCAGTGCCAGAGCTTAACACATCTGAACTTTCTGGAGAGGAATCTGGCAACAGCTTATCACCATTTTTAATGGCATCCTTCTTCACCCAGAACTTCTATTTCTGGGCACTGATTCCATAGAAATACTTGCATAAGTGTACAAAGATATATACACAGCAATACAGAAAATCAGTGCAACACCGTTTATAACAGCAAAACTTCAGAAACAATTAAGATGTCCATCAGTAGAGCTCTGGATGCGGGTTACCAACAGAAGCAAAACCAAGCAGCTGTTATGATGAAAAGCTGTATAAACGGTCTGACAATAGATCCACATAAAACATAGGCTGTCCAACGGGGTAGGGGAGAAGCAAGTAGCAGAATAGCAAGAGAAAAGCAGTAGTAGGTATAATCATCCCATTTTTTAAAAAAAAGGTAACTATACTCATCCATATATAATTGTTCATACAGAAAAGTGCAAAAGAATATGCATCAAACTATTAACAAGATTGTGGAAAAGATATTCACTTTTTACTTTATACATTTTATTTTCCTTTGTTAAAATTAACTACATAATACTAATTTTAAAAAATTAAACTTATTTTAAAAAACAAAGAAGTGAGAATACTGTAATGGAGGATATTAGATGACTATCTCAAGGAATTCTGAAGTCATGGTGGTAATCAGGATCGATTAAAAAATAAGCTAACATAGGTGTGCAATCGGTAAACTCTAAAGCACCCCAGTAGCCCTACTGCATGATGCCATTACATCTGTGTCCAAAGAAGTATCTTTGTATAATTTTCATGCACTAAAACATGCATAGGTAGTAACCAGCCCACTTAAGTAGAAGTTACAACCAGAAATAATTTCATAAAAGTAACCATCAGCTCAAAGGTGACCACAGTAAAGGGTAACTGAAGAGGAAGTTTCTAAAAGAGGCTAAAAACAATCAGGACAAAAAAAATTCTTCTTCATAACGCCAAGGTCAAAGGGTTTGGATCCTTGTACCAGCCAGCTGTCAAAAAACAAACAAAACAACACAAAAAAATTCTGGTTTTGCAAGATGCTTCCTCCCATGAAAAAATATTCAAAGTATAGGCAGATGGTTCTACAAAGACTTCATCAGCTAATTTTAAAGACTGCACAGTTGTGAGGGGCAAGGGGAGGAGGTGGAGAGGAATGGGTAAAGGGGCATGAAAATCAACTACAATGTATACTGAGAAGTAAAATAAAAAATAAAAATATTAAAAAAAAGATTGCAGAGTTGACGTTTTCATTTGAAGTGAGAGGTAGTATCAAATTCTTTGATCAATTACATTAAATCACAAACACCTATAAGCATTAGACTATAACACACCTATAAGCATTTAGACATGCTAGAATCTTTACTTGCAGATAAATCTTGGAATTTAAAACAGTCATACTGAGGAGCAGCTCAGTAACCAGTTAACTATCAACGGAGCTACCAAAACAAAGCACTCTTCCTACCCTGATCTCATACCGCACCTCATGAAGAAACTGATATTTAGTTGAAAAGGGAAGTGGAAGGGGAAAGGGGGATGGAGAGAGAGCTCACCTCGCCATTGTCCAGAACAGCCATGGAGGAGGTCTGACCACAGGCAATGCCAACCACCCTCTTAATATGTAAACAGTTTGTAACTTTTCGAGGAGTTGGTTGATTGGCTGTAGATCCTGATCCCACTTGGCCACAGTTGTTATAGCCCCAAGCAAATACCTACAAAAGAGGGGAAAAAGAAAAAGAATGGTTAGGGTGAAAACTCTACCTCTAACACAAATAATCATAAAATAAAAATAAACCCACGTGGGGCTGGCCAGTTAGCTCACTTGATTACAGCATGGTGCTGATAACACTAAGGTCAAGGGTTTGGATCCCTTTGCTGGCCAGCTGCTAAATTTAAAAAAAAAGAAAAAAATGAGGGCAGTGATTGGCTGACATTAATCCCCAAAAAACAATGCTTAACATCATTAAAAAAAAAAAAAAGGTGGGGAGGGTGGTCGGTTAGCTCAGCTGGTTATAGTGCAGTGTTAGTAACACCAAGGTTGAGGGTTTGGATCCCCACACTCACCAGCTGCCGAAAAAATAAAATAAAATAAAATAAACCCAATTAATGAGTACTTGCAATGCACTAAATGGTCCTAAATGATTTACACAAATTAACCTGTTTAATCTTCACAGTAATTCTGTAAAGTGACCCTGGGGTAGGTAATATTATCATACCCATTTTATATACGGAAACTGAAACACAGAGAGGTTAAGTGACTTGCTTGAGGTTCCACAGCTAGTAAGCCGTACAAGTGGAATTTAAGCCCACGCAGTCTCACTATCCTCTTAACCACTAGGCTACATTGCCTCTATAATTATAGCACCTATGTATATTTTTTAATCTGGCCTCAGTGGGAAACGAGGTATAGGCCACATAAGTATCAGTAATATAAAAAAATCTGCTCAACTGTCGGCACAAATACTCATCATTTTTCATGAAAACCCTTCTAAACCATACTATGCTTTTCCCTGTCTTAACTAATTGACAATTCTAGGCATTACATAGCCTCCCCTTGATGACTCAGGATCATTGTGGTTGTAATTATTAATCACAGTTTCACATTACAACACAGTAGTGCTCACAAGTGCTAAGAAGATGTCTGCCTACAGCAATGACCCCAGGTCGTGAGGCTTTTCTCAGTACTATTTGCTCTGAGTTCTCATTTGCTGTCTGTCAGCTTCAAGCGGCTCCCCACCCCAACCGCATACCACGCTTACTTTTGCTCTGTTATCTGCCATAACCTGAAAACCAGATTTTTAACGAAGAGAGACACAAACAGGTCTCTAAGCTAGTTAAAAACTAACAACAAAGATGGAAAACAAAACAAAAAGTCACTCCAAGTTAATTACCAATTGCTCCTATTAAACAGGAGAGTGACCAGAGAGATTAAGAGAAGATAACTTCCTCCAACACTAGGAGAATTTCTAAGACCCCCACAATCCACCCCCGTTCACATGCCTGCAGGAGATGGTCCTCACCCACCCTGAGTTTTGCTTCCACAATTCCTTCTTTCCTCTGTCAGCACTTCCTGATGCTGTCTGAGGCAACAGTAAAACCCACTGCTGATGTCGTAAAAGAATATGTGCTACAGGTTCCTTTCACAAGTAGAAAATAAATAATCCGCAACACTTCCTCAAAGTATATTCACAGGAATATCTAGTTTAAAAATGCAAATATTTGGCACAATTATCCAAAGTAGCATATGCTTAAGGTTAAAATAAAGCAGGAATCCAGCCTGTATAAATTAGCAACTTCTGTCTAATTTCAACAACCATTCTGCTGGCATTCCTCGAATATCACAAGTTCCCTTGCAATGACACTGCCTTTTATTTAAAAATTGGGACTGTAATTCTACTAACCGAGAAATGGATTAGGAAACAGTGGATTCTGGGCATAAGGCCTGTATGCTGCACCTGGCTCCAGGATATCCTGGCCGTGAATCCTTGGTCTCCCAGACCTTTTGGGTTTCTTCATCTATAACTTGTCCTATGTAGTAAAATCACCGTAACCACTGAACTTTAAACAGAGGAACGATATGATGTAATTTGTTTTAGAAACCATAGGGGATAGAGAAGTAAGATTAGACAGGTAGATCAATTGAAGAGTCATGGAATGGAAGAGACTATGGCAATAGTCCAGGCAGGAGATGACAAGACTTGACCAAAGGCAATGAGAGGAACAAAATGATACAAGAACTTAGAAGGCAGAGTCAATAGGATGGGTAAGCTTTAAGATAAGCATGGAACTGTGGGCTGAACAATGGTATAGAACCTACGAATGTTGGTATAGTTATTTTCTCAACATTATCACACATACTAGAAAACAAGGGATGGGGTCATAAATGAACAACAAAAGTAGAGAACACTGTCATACACATATGATTTGTAGTCTTATCAAAGAGCATGAGACTCAACTGGCTTAAGAAGGAATTCCACGGTCATCAAGAGACCAATCATGGTTACATAATACAGATATGTCAGAGAAAGAGTGTGTTCCTGCAATGTTTTTAGCTACACACACAGGGCTAGTATGTCCCATTATGCCAGTTACAAATATGGTCATTATTTCATTTTTTTTAAAGCAGGGGACTTTCACAATAGCCAAAAAGTGGAAGAAACTCAAGTGTCAATCAACAGATAAATGAATAATCAAAATTTGGTGGAACATTATTTAGCCTTAAAAAGGAAGGAAATTCTTTTTTTTTTTCCTTTTTGTCTTTTTTCGTGTCCGGCAACGGATCGCAACCCTCAGTGTCACGCCCGTACCAGACCGGGACCGGCAACGGGATCGCAAACCTCGGTGCTGCACCCGCACCTCGCTCAGCCAGTGAGCGGCCGGTCTAAAAGTAAGGAAATTCTAACACATGCTACAATGTGGATGAACCTGGAGGACATGATGCTAAGTGGAATAAGCCAATCACAAAAAGACAACTACAGTGTGATTCCACTTTTATGAAGTACCCAGAGCAGTCACACTCATAGAGGCAGAAAGGAGAACAGTACTTGCCAGGGGTTGGGGAGAGGAGAGAAGGGGAGTTAATGTTTAATAGGTACGGAGTTTCAGTTTTGCAAGATGAAAGCAGTTCTATGGGTGGATGGTGGTGATTGCTGCACAACATGAATGTACTTAATGTCATTGAACTGTACACTTAAAAATTAAGATGGTAAATTTTATGTTATGCATGTTTTACCACAATTTTTAAAAAAAGAATAAAAGCAGTGCACTTACTTCTCCATCAGCTGCCAGAGCCATTGAATGATGTGAACCACAAGCCACTTCAACCACTTGCTTGATCAAGAGATTGGTACAGACTTGGATGGGAGCAACACCTTGGTTGGTCGTCCCGTTCCCAAGCTGGCTGTATCCATTGTGACCCCAGGCATAAACCACTCCATCTATACATGAAAAGCACACAGAGAATCAGCTCCAAAAAGACATGGTAACCTCTGTACTTTCTTCTCCCGAACTCTGCACAACTCATTCTCCAACCTTCATTCTCTCACATTGCACCCTCCTCTCTATAAAGTAACCATTGATGGGAGGTGGGGGAGAGAGGGATGGATGACAGAACAGGATAAACAGGTGCAAGATCTTTAATGAAAGGACTTGATACTAACATAGAACAAAGATCAGCTTTGGGGTCAGAAGCCAAAGTATGTATACAAAAATTAATTTCTAAACACTTTGATTCATCTCAATAATTCCTGTGTTGGGTACCAAGCCAAAGGAAGAAGACACATGAAATCTCAACACTAATGTTTACTATTACTTTACCAAATACCAAGTCTCAGGGAACCCTGGGTGGGGCGGCGGGGAGGTCACTTATTCACAAAGTGCAGAGGAAGAAGGTTCACTATGTGCAGAGGAAACAAAAATCACAGAGCTTCTCTCAAACAGACAATTTTAATAGTATGAAATCTGGCTGTTTTTTGTTTTTTGCATAAAGCAACCATTTTATTATACTCATTTATTCTGTGTGTTAGGAATTTGGACGGGGATAAGGAAGATGGCTTGTCTTTGCTTCACGAAACATGTGATCTCAGGAATTTTCAGAGACTGGGGATGATTTGATGGCTGGGGGTTGGCATCTTCTGCAGCATGTTCACTCACATTCTTGTGGCTATCTTTGGAAAGTATAATCGGCTTATTGTAAAAGGATACAATTCAGAAACAGCCAAAGGGAAGAGAGGCACAGGGCATGGGGGAGGGGCTGGGCATGCCACCCTCCAAGCACCTTGACATGTTCACCAACCTGGAAGCTGCTCTGTCTGAATTCTTTTTTTTTAAGTTTATTTACTAATATTATTTTTTTTTTACATTCTGAGATGTTGTTGCTGAACAGCTGGAGGGGAAGGGGAGATGGGAATAGGGAAGGAAATAGGGTGGGAAAGGAGGAAGGAACAGGGGCATGGTTGAGGCCCATGGCACCTCCCTCATTCCTTCAGGGGAGACCAGGGGGCTTCCAGCAGTAGTTTGGTCATTGCTGGGCTGGATGCAGATGTCATGGGGGTGTGGCTGAAGCCCTTGGCCCCCCACCACCCTGGCTCGGGAGCCCAAGGTGTTTCTGGTGGTGGATTGGTGGTCATTGATGGGCTGGTTGCAGATGTTGGGGGTCATAGCTGAGGCTCTCAGCCCCCAATGCCCTGGCTTGGGAGCCCAGGGGGCTTCTGGTCCTTCTAGGTTTTCTAGGTGCTCTTGGCGATGTGAGACTTTTAATAGTAAATATCAAACTTTGTTTCTGATCTGTGGGTATTTTGTTTTTTCTTTCAGTTCTGTGTTGGATTATTCACTGTTCCCACCACTGGAACCAATTTGCTGTCCTCTGCTCACTTCTAAAATGGGAGAACTTCCTGTGGGGACCAGCAGTTGAGCCCTGTAGTTGAGCTTAATTGTTGCTTTGCTGCTGATTCCCTGGGGAAGGTTTTTTGTGCAGCTCAGGTTTTAATTCTTGACCTTGTATGTACTTCCAGGTCTTGTGAGTTCCAGTACACCTGGGTTGTGTGAAAACTCTGATCTGGAACTGAGACTTTTCAGCAAACTGCACCCCCTGCAGTTCTATATTCCTGACCAGTCTCCTCTGAGTGGTCCTGCACTGACTGGGGAGCAGATCAGCTGTCCATGCTGTGCCCCAATGTTCCCCCGGTGGGCCCATCTCCCCAGCTGCCCGTGCTCCAAACACTTCCCATAGGATGGGCCATGCTCTGGTCACTTGCAATGACTCCCCGGCCTCTGAGTGGCTCCTTTATTCATTTGTTCTGGCTCCTCACTCCTGTGTGGGTCCACAGGAACCCTGTTAGTGGTCCTTCTGGCCTGGAGGCCACCAAGGTCCTCTTCTCCCCTGCCATCTCCAAGCAACTTTATATGAAGGGCACAGCTGTGGCTTTTGCCAGCTTCTGCTCCATACGCTCACCAGCTCCAGATTTGAAGTGGCTGGGGCTCAAAATGGTGGGAGTGATCCTTTCTTTCTCTAACCGTGGCTTCTCCTGCCTTCATGAACTTCATAGATCTCTCCTCCTCTTCCCCTGAGCACTAGTGGCCTCAGCTTGGCTGTCGTTGCTTCTTAATAGTTGTAAACTGGTTGATTGTCAGAGAGAGTGACGCTGGGGACCATCTATTCCACCATCTTGACTGGAAGCCTCTGAATTTCTTTTTTTTTTTTTTTTTTAATTAACTTTATCTTTGGGGGGATCCTGATAGAGATAACTTTTCTGTTTTATGTCCTCACTTGAAGTATTGTTGTTTTGTGCATTCTTCCTACAGCACACGTGAGGATGGAGAGTAGGTGTTCCTGAATTATGGTTTCTTCTCTTTCTCATGGTAATAAAACACCCTGACCTGTAAAGGACAATCTAGACCTGGCAACAATGATATCCAAGAGCGACAAAAGAAATCCAAGTGTTACAGTTAGGCTACTGGCTCACTGACAATAGCCCCCAAGCAACTAGGGGAAAGATACTGATATTTAAACAGCCTTCTGGATATCTATTCTAGAATGACAACAGACCACACACAGAGAGCAGATCTAGAGAACCTCTAAAGTGTATCTCACAAGAGGTGTTGCCTATTATAGAAATTATGACAGAAACCATAAATGGGACATTTCATCCTAAGAATGATGAGGCTCAAGACTGAAAGCTCAAGACTGAAAGCAACTGTATAAGACCTAGAAAAAATGACTGACAATATTATGTTAGATCAGTGAAATAAATATGCAAACCTATGAGTGTTTTAACTCCTGAAAGACAGAAAAACAAACTTGAACAGAGAAATACATACCTTGTTCTTTTTCTTTTTTTTTTTTTCTTTTTGTCTTTTTTCGTGACCGGCAGCGGATCGCAACCCTCAGTGTCGCGCCCGTACCGGACTGGGACCGGCAACGGGATCGCAACCCTCGGTGTTGCGCCCGCACCTCGCTCAGCCAGTGAGCGGCCGGTCTGTATGTGGGATCCGAACCCTCGGCAGGAGAGCCACCGCGCTCCCAAGCGGCGCACTGTAGCAGTGCGCCACAGGCCGGCCCCCATACCTTGTTCTTGAATAGAAAAACTTAGTATCATAAAGATGCCAGTTTTTTCTATGTAAATTTATAACTTTAAAGCCATAGCAATAAAATGTTTCAAGCAATAAAGCTGCTTTCTAGAGCTAGACAAACTGAATAGGAAGTTCATCAGGAAAAACAAACAGGGATAAATAGGAAAATTCTATAAAAAAGAAGATAGCTAACTCTACCAGTTATTAAAACCTATAAAAAGCTTCTAAAACTAAGCTAATACTAGGACATGAACAGACAGATTGACCAATAGAATAGAACTGAAAATCTAGAAATAGATCAATTGCATATGGAAGTAAAAGCTGTATCAGTTGGGGAAAAATGGACTTTTTACAAGTTGGGTTGAGGTAACTGTACAGTCATATTGAAAAATTAGATTCATTCCTCTACCATACACTATGATAACATCTCAATGAATCAGAAATTTAAATGTAAAAAATAAAACCATATAGGAACTAGAAGGAAAAACTTAGTGAATTCCTATATAACCTGGGAGTAAGGAAAACTTCCCTGACTCAAAAATCCAGAAGCAACAAGAAAAAAAACTAATAAATCTAGTTACATTAAAAGACACGCACACACAAAACTTTTACATGGAAAAAACGACCATGAGCAAAGAAAAAATTAAATATAGAGAAAAAATATTTGTAATTTATATCACTAAGATAATAACTCAAATGTAAAAAAAGCTCCTAAAAATACAAAAGAAAAAATAAGAACTCTATAGAAGTATGAACTGACAGTTCACAGAGAAAGAAATACGGCTCTTAACCATGTAAAAGATGTTCAACCTCATTCTTAAGAAGAAAAATGAAAATGACATCTTAACATAGCAGAAGACCAGGCTCCTACTCCCCAAGGCTGGTCTAGCTGCTACCATTGCCGAATGTCCACTAGGCCAGTAACAGAGGCCAGTGCACAGGCCCTGATACATCATTATCCCTTGAGGAGACCAACCAGCCACTTGGTGGTAATTTAATTACAATTACAATTGACCCATTTGATCCTGGAAGAGGCAGCCTTTATTGACAGAAATCAACAATCCATCTACGGGTTTCCTGCCCACAGGGCCTCAGCCAGTGCCATTATCTGAGGGCTTACAGGGTATTTAATTCACTGACATGGATCTCACAAAACATTTCATCAGACCAAGGGACTGATGAATAGTGAATGAAGGTGAATGATATCCGCAATTGCCATGGCCAGAGTACAGCATAGTTGGGCTCATACCCCTCAAGGAGGAGAGTCTGAGTCACCCAATCAGGTAAGCCACCCACGCCTGGTGCTAGCCACTATTTGTAAAACAGTATACATACACCTTTCTTCCCTTTTTCCTTGTTGAAGCACAGGAAAGGTGAACTCCATCACAAGATGGCTCTCAGTCCCCAAACCTGGGGAAACCCTCAAAGCAATGCAATCCAACTGGACATGAGCATCCACTTCCCTAGTCCTGTGCTCTGGCCACACTGTCTCTGGCAGACCTACGACAAAACTTCAGGACCACTTGAGGCTTAACAGAGGAGCAAAATCACCCAAGAATATAACAGTGAAACAAGCCGGGACAGGAGAGTAGGGGAGGAAGAGCCTGGAAGGAGGCAGGGAAGCACCCCATGAATTCTGACCTTTAAGGAAACTTGGTTTAATCTTCAGAAACTGGACACTGAGTTGACGAAGTGCCCAGAAACAATTAATTTTATAAGTAACTTAATTTAATGTTGCTTCAGAAGACAAAAAGAAATCCACAAGCCTTAGTTCTGTATGTAAACTAATGATACCAAATGAACACTGATCTTCAAAGAAAAAGTCCAAAAAGAAGAGGACAGAGAAAACAAAGAAGAAAAGTTATCC